TTTCATATTTAATGTGGTAGCTGTTGCTAGATGATAAAAATTATATTTCATCACAACAAATGTAATCATTTTATAGCATTAAACGCGGATACGCAGTCAGCTGGTAGTAGCGTGTAAGGAAATAGACATCCGTTTAAGTGTACCGTCATGGAATATTCATGGACTTAAAACTGAAAAGATAGAAAAGGAAATATTCTTATAAAATTTAAGCAACGCTATTAATGTTAGTGTTCCCATTTACCAATTTAATTAGGTACGCCGAAAATTATTGTGTTGGATTGGTTTACGACAGTAGTCAAATTACCTACCTGCATATTGTAGCGCTGTGCGCTTATTTGATACATAATACTACTATTATGTATTTAGTAATTTACTATCTAGAATTAAAATTGATAAGTGTATTATATTATTGATTAACAAATACAAAGAAATAAAATTGAAGTGTCTGTTTGTAATGTCAAAACAGCTTTTTACTTAATGCATATGATAGTATATACGGTACTTATAACAAAACACAATTTTTAAATTTTGGTCTGTCTGTTTGTTCCGGCTAATCTCCGAAATGGCTGTACCGATTTTGACGGGACTTTCACTGCCCGATAGCTGATATTATAAGGAGTAACTTAGGTTATTTTAATTTTACAAATAAAATTAGGGTTCCGCGCAAAAAAAAAATTAAAACCTTAAATTACACGCGGGCGATGTCGCGGGGAACAGCTAGTTTAAAATAAAATAATATTTCTTTCATGGCAAGATAAGAAAAAGTGCGAGGGAGATGGATATTATTCCATCTCGCTTCCTTAGGCCTCTGCCTCGAATTTTGCGGGCAGCGGGGTGGCGGCGGCGGCGACGCGGGAGCGAGGCGGGCAACGCAGACCCGTTCTCGAAACCAGCGGGCGGATGGCGCGACACTATAGCGGCGTAGTGATGGGTTCATGGTTGTTTTGTCGAGATATTTGTTTATATTCGCGAACGAAATGTCTGAACAACAGCGACATCTTTTTGATTTAAATTTATTCCTAACGCTCGATTTATTGTGGGCAAGATAAGAAGTGAATACCTACTATAGGGCAAGGAAAAAGAAAGGCTAGTTTTATCGAAATTACGATATCGAAGTACGATGATTAGTTATTTCTACAATCACAGATTTGTTATTATTTGACAGTATTTTTTATTATAAGGTTGATATACCTAGTGTTGAGTATTATACCCACACATATATGATTCATTAGAAGAATACATGCCTTCATTTACACTTAACTCGTCTCGAAGAGCTTGATTAATTTTTTGTCTCACTCGTTAACTTTTGTACTGGCGTGAATTTTTCCATTTGTCGAAGCAACCTCATTAAAAAGTAGTAGTCTTAAATAAATTTGCTCTTGCACGTCCGAGGACATTTCGACACGTCACAAAAGTAAATTGCACAACACTGCAACGCAGACGCGCAGGCGCTGCTTGACTGGAGTGCACCGCTCGTTGCCCGCCCCCACGCCGCTGCCGCGCCGCTGTTTTCGAGTGTCGGTCCATTTGATTTTACGGATAAGATCCTGCCGCTCACGCGCCGCCGCCGCCGTCGCCCCGCTGCCCGCAAGATTCGAGGTAGAGGCCTTATAGCCGCCAATGCCGTCAACACTACGTCAGAAGGGGTCGTGATCGAAAAATCTTATACTTTTTTCGCCTAGCCCCATCCGCCAAATTCGTACCGTCCGATAAAGAACTTCGTTCCAATAAAAAATAATACATTCTGTTTAGACTAGACTTAGATAAGTACCTAACGAACTAAACAATCGAATTTTCTCTTCGGACTTCGGAAATGTAGGTGAGTTAACTGCAATGATACTTTAGCGGCATGACGCGACGAATGGGCGCCTGGAGCGCGCATGTCCAATGTGTCCGGTTTGAAGAGCTATTTGAATTTGAGAATGATTCTACTTAAACTCTTAAACTAGTCTTAAAGATCTGTCGCATTTGCGTGTTCACGTAAAATTACGCTCATTTTACAACCACAAAACTTTAATGGAAAAAACTTTTTTTTGTGCTTATATTCTTTTTCCTTTTTCCTTTTTACTTGTTTTTGTTCATTGGTTAATCTATACCTAACTACTCAATGAGTTTTGCAGCGCCTGTAAAAGGTTAAGTGATCAGTACCATTTGTAATACATATTAGGACCTAATGTACACTGAGCAAATAAATACTTGAATACCTACTTTACGTAAGTGTGCTTGCTGCAATGCCCCTTATTTTTATTTCGAACGTTCTGGTTATGGCTTAACATATTTTTCTGCAACAGTAAACAAATTTATCAGTAGTTAAAGCAACTTAGATATACAGCGGAGATGCAATCAAATTGTATGATTTCTTCTTCATCGCGCTCTCGTATTCACTACAGATAGCTAGCTAGATATTTTTCTTAAGATACCTACTCTACTACCCTCGCTCAAATCTTAAATTATATTATAATAGTTCGATTTTTTTAATAATAAGAATATTGATTTGGATAGTGTCAATTTTAACGCATTTCGCTGTTTGTTTCTTTTTGTTTTTAAGAAAACAAAATTATTTTTTGCTAGCAACGATACATTTCTACTTCAGTCTGCATTTGATTTGCCTTTTTAAAATAAATAATATTTGTGGAATATATTTTCAATTAAAGTTACAATGGCGGATTAGAGCATTTTGTTCCGTACCGCAGTGTTATATAACCGGGCGTCGCTCGATAGCGACGCGGCTGGGTCGACCACGTTAGTAACTTACGTCTGCCTATGCCACTTTTTGTTTTGGGATTAAGAACATCGCTTATCAGAAAATTGTTCACAGCAAGATATTTTTCAAGTTCTAAATATATCTTTAATTAATAGAAAACAAGTTATACACAGCTGCACCGATGCTCATGATCTGATATTTACAGTACTGTATTGATATACTCGTATAATGATTAGACTTAAAGCTGATTTTTCAATCAACAGATAAAAAATTATTCATATAATAAAATACAAGATAAACAAATTAAAAATACAGTTATATTAATAAACTAATTCAACTGTCACGCTCTTATTCAGTCAGTTTATTTATACTTATGTAACAATTAAAAAATCAGCCCTTAAAAAATATAAAGAATATAAAGAAGGAGATTTTTTATTATGAGTTATCGATCTGTGATAGTTTATATCACAGATCGATAACTCATAATAAAATATGTTAAATAATACGAAAGTTATTTCTAAAAGTGATTTTACAGCTTTTTAAAATAACTTGCGCAGGTAAGTAGTACACTTGAGTTTTGTTAGAAATAATAGATTCGTTTGTTGCCGCAGTATTACGTAATGGCTTTCGTACGAATGTCCCGATTTAACAACAGCTGGTGGCCTTCAATTAGCTCTTTCTATTTCATACTTTCCTTTAACATTTTGTTACAATTATTTAAAGTTACCTCTAAATGGGAACTCATTTTGCATCCAAAGAATGCAAAACGAGTGTAGGCATTTCTGAACAAACGTTATTTTTAAATGGTATCAATGTACAACCAAGTTGTACGCACATAAGATTTTTTTACATAAATATTGTGACTTTAAAGATTATATAAGCTTGTTTTTGGTTGGTTTAACTGACGGCTTAAGTGATATCTACAAGATTAAGGGTATATCATGGTCAACTGTGTCAAAAGCGTTAGAAGAGTCAACTAGCGACACCTCTGTAAATTTTTGCTCATCCTTGCTATTTCTCATGATCTCACTTTGATTACTATGATCATAGCGAAACCCGGACAGAAATGCATTCAGCACGTTGTTTTATAAAAATAAAAAAGGAAAGTTACAGCCTATATACGGCCCACTTCCCTGGGCATTGACCTAATATTTCTTCGAGGATTTTAGGAAAACCATGTGTCCACCACGCAGCGCAATCTGTCCATAATGCGAGTTGGCGAACTTCACCTGACATCGATTTTTTTCTTTCTTATACATGCAGATATTTGTTTAGGTCGGTAGGTTCTCACGATGTTGTGGACTCGGGTGACTTTGTACCATGATATTTATAGTGAGCGCTCAGCCCCTTAGCTACTACGGCATATAGACACAGGCTTTCAGAAATTTTGCGAGATGTGGGTAAATCGAAATGTGACGAATGCGATTGGAGAAGGGTTTCTTTATAAGCAGCCTTTAGCAGAAGAGTAATTGACAATAGACAGAGAATAATTTATAATATACTAGCTGACCAGGCAGATGTTGTTCTGCCTTTTTCGACGACCCTACATATAAAAAATCCTTATATTCGTAATAAAAAAAAATATTGAGTGTCACTTATCAGGATAAAAACTATCCTATCTCTCAAGTTGGACCAAACTGAACAGAGTGTGCAAATTTCATTGAAATCAGTTCAGTAGTTTAGGAGTTCATCGCGGACAAACAATGTAACACGTAATTTTTATATATGTTGAGTTATAGAAAATTCAGGAAGAGAAAGTTTATACTACATGGATCAACTTCCGGTGGCTCCGATTCGTGCTTTTTTATAGCAATCAATGGGGAAGGCCTATGTTCAGCAGTCAAATTGTTATGGGCTGTGACAATGATGATAAGTTTGCGAAAATCTTTTTCACATCGCCTTGTCAATAGTCAGCAGAGGACTTGTTAAGAGTTTTGGTGATAATGATGTTATGGTAATAAGAAACTAAGAAGCATATTATAAGCATTGCAGCAAAGAAGCCCGTCACGTTGCACTGGAACAGATTAATGAACTCGATTATGTTTTATTTTTCAGATAGGCTAACTAAATTAAAAAATCAATAATGCCCGTCATGGGTAATTGCACTATTCGGCCATTTTTTATAAGACTAAAGTGACAAACGAACGAATTAAATTATTTAAACTACCGAATATATTTAATGGCTGAAACTTGAGCAACACGGCTCTATTTTAATCCCCATGGAATCTAATAATTTGCATTTATCTGAATTGGCGCACTATTTACTATCTTAAACCATGGCTGTACCTTGTTTCAGTTACATTTACCCAACCATGGATGAACTGGCCAACCAACTCAACTACGTGATGGGTCATTTCGGCATAAAATCGTTTATTGGTTTTGGCGTAGGTGCGGGCGCAAACATCCTCGCAAGATTTGCTCTCGTTCACCCCCAAAAGGTAAATCCGTCAGTAAAACTAAAATTCTACAACGTGTTAACATGGAAGTGGATAATAATCATGAATTTAGGATTATATTTTATGTATTCTTTTTTTAAACACGAGCTAACGTGTGAAAAGCCAACGGTCACCTATAGAGACCTGTAGGTAAGTTGGTGGCCACTGCAGCCGATGGCCACTTGCAATCGACTTTGAATTAAGAAAGTTACATGAAATTTGTTATTTTCTCAGCAGAATTTTTTACGTGGTAGAGCCATGCTGCAGCTATATTACTGGTATAGTTGTAGCACGAATGGGTCGGCTCGACCGGGGAAGGACCACGCTCTCACAGAAAACCAGCGTAAAATAGCAGCTTACTGCTATGTATCGTATGGTGAGTGTAGAGAACCGGAGACCCTTTTTACTGGCAAAGAGGCATTCCATCTTAGTCCTCACGGGTGACAACGCATCTGCATCTTGAGTCTTTATTGAGGATAGATGTAGATGTCTATGGGTCACAGTTACCACTTCCCATCAGGTGGACTGTGTGCTCGTTTGTCACCCTTTCCTATAAAAAAAAAAGAACCAATAACTCCTTTTTCGTGCCAGTATTACAACCTTCATATGACTCTGAATTATATCGTATCAACTCGTTTTTATTTTATTGACTAGTTTTTTCATAGTGTTAGTGTGTAAAAAAAAATGTTTATAATCGAACTTAAATTTTGTGTAATTTTTAATCCTCTTCACTATTTGCGGACGATTCCAGAAATTTGTAAAGTAATACGAGTATGTAGCAAATTTGGTTATAGTTGCCATATCTAACGTTTTGAAATCTTCCACATTTCACTTTGACTGCTAGTTGAAAATTATTTATGATAAAGTAAAGAATAATTGTTGTTAAAATCTGTAATCTTCTATTTATAATTCAATTATTATATTATACAGTGTTGAAAGTGTTGGAAGAATGCCGTCTTACGTGTTTTATTAAAGCCTTGCGATGCCACTTCATTATGGCATTCAAGGACTACACTTACGTAACTAATCATCGTAAAACTGCTCGTAGTTACACTACCTCGTTTTAACTCAGCCTTTAATTTTAATGCTAATTCTTTGGTAGTGTCATTAATTCCTCGTATCATTGCAGGTGGATGCTCTAGCTTTGATCAATTGTACTTCAAATCAAGCCGGTTGGATTGAGTGGGCCTACCAGAAGATGAACTCGCGCTCACTGCGCTCTCGCGGGATGACTCAGGGCGTCCTTGATTACCTCATGTGGCATCATTTTGGCAGGGTGAGTTTTATTTTATTAATAAGACACTCAAACAGATACATAGCACAATTACAGTTACAAATATTATTATAACTAGTCTATAATCCAATAGTGTGCACAACATAACAAAATATGACAAGTATTAAAAACTAATAATACATAATATGAGTGTCAGTAAAAAAAAACTTATTTAATGATATTCGTGAAATGTACACATTTAACGTAGCAATTACAGATAGTTTAAACTGTGAGATGTTAGAATTAAAAATGTCCATTATGATATCTCAGCTCGTCAAGATTTCGACACATTTTTTTAAATAGGAGAGGCAAACGAGCATGCGGCTCACCTGATGGTAAGTGACTACCGCCGCCCATCAACGACTGCAACACCAGGGGAACCAGGGTAATTGCAGATGCGTTGCCGGCCTCTTAGAAAGGAGTAGGCTCTTTTCTTGAAGGTCCCTAAGTCGTATCGGTCCGGAAAAATCGCTGATGGTAATCGATTCCACAAGAAAGTTATGCGAGGAAGAAAACATCTTCTAAATCGCACAGTGGTGGACTGCCAATCATCCAGCTGGTGTGGATGGTATCGGGAGTTCTGCCGTGATGTGCGTTCGTGAAATTTGTCGGCTGGGATTATTCCGAACAATTTCTTAGAGCACTCCCCGTGGTAAATGTGAAAGAAAATGCAAAGGGATGCAACATCTCTTCGCAGCGCCAATGAATCGAGAGATATATAATGTTATGAATGTTATTCTATCATCGTAAAATGCACCTAGACATAACTCGTACTCCGAAATACTCTATGGGGTTTTGAATCCGCCCTTTCCGATTGGATATGCAAGTTCACCTGTCGAAACAAAATTGTCTGCGCAATAAAACCGTTGGGATCCGTCTTTCGAAACCTCCTGAGCTAGCAAACATTTTCCCGCACACTCTTGCTTCGTTTGGCCTGAGTTCAATTTTCGCCGGGGCGACTGCATTTTTCAATGTTTCTAGCTTTGCGCGTGCATGTACTTATATTGACATAATCAATAAAGCATTGGCTGAACTGAGTTCGTTATGTGCTATGCGATTTTTTTACTGAATTTTGGTGAACGAATATCTGTCAATAATTATACTAGTGAACGAAATTAGTTGTTATCTTGTATTAGCCATTAACAAGTTTTTTCTTATGCATTAAAGTTAGAATAAGGATGATAACTGACCACTGGAATGACCACTGGAAGGATCACTGATCACATTGCCCGGTTGTCATCCAGTGGATGCTGTAGCCCATTGACATTTACATCTATCCCCAATTACGAATCAAAACGCAGATGCGTTGTCACTTCTGAGGACTAGGATGGGATGCCTCGTATCCAGTAAGAACGGTCTCCGGTTCTCTACACTCACCATACGAAACACAGCAGTATTAAGCTGCTATTTTACGCTGGTATTCTGTGAGAGCGTGTTCCTTCCCTGGTCAAGCTGACCCATTCGTGCTACAACTATAATATAGGTGCAGTATGATTACCACGTAAATTAAATTTAATAATACATTAACAACTATACTACATTACCGTAACCCTGTAGTGGCGGTGTAAGATTATCTACTACCCCATATTATCCTGTGGATAATAAAATGAGCAGCATCTTCTTAATAATCCGCTTTCCAAACGAAGGCAATGAGGTAGTCTACGGGGCAGGCCTATGTTGAGCAGTCGGACCTTATAGGTTGTAATGGAATGGAATGGATACTATATTATCTATTATTGAAATGAAATATAAGTCATGTATTTTTTTTTTCGATTATCTTTCGTATAACTTAATTAATTAATGCAAGCATTTTTGAATTATGCACACTAAAACAAACGAGCTTTAGTACACAAAACTCGTAGTGATTTTGTTTGCATGATGAACTACGAGTGTTCGTTGGGTCGTTAAATGACATGTGGCCCGCAGGTAACACCAATTTGCATTTCATCATGAATACAGCTATCTATATTATCTTTGTGTCTCGCACTGGAACACAGTATCAAAATACTGGATACATTTTTAAGTTCACATAAATAAACGCATTGCGATATGAAATTTATTTGCGCTTGCAAAAGTTTTTAATCATTGTAGATACTCCCAACTCCAACTGTTTTATTTGCTCACGACAATAGCGCTGCTATTTTCCGTCTAGACGCCGATATTAAAAGCATTTCCACTTTATATTAAGTACCGAGCGGATAAAGTTTATAAAATGAAATCTTTGCGAATTCCAGCAAGTTATCGTAAAATTCGTCTTATTTGTCGCTTTGCGTTATATTTGCTTGATTTTAATGTGATTTCTTGCGAATGTTTTTTATGGGATAAGTGTGACAAGCGAGCACACAGTCCACCTGCGGTGTGTGGTTGCGGTAGCCCCATAGACATCTACATCTATCCTTGTTTGCGAATCAAAATGCAGATGCGTGGTCAGCCGTGATGACTAAGATGGAATGCCCCTTTTCCAGTAAAAAGGGTATCCGGTTCTATACACTCATCATACGAAGCACAGCAGCATTAAACTGCTATTTTACGCTGGTATTCTGTGAGAGCGTGCTCCGTCCCCGGTCGATCCGACCCATTCGTGCTACAACTATACAATTAATATAGCTAAAACTATACAATTAATATGTTATTGTTTAATAATTTATAAATGGTTGTAACCGTCTGTGATTTTTATTTAAGTTGATTCGATATAGTATTCAATTATTAAAAATTTTCTCTTCCTTGTTTGTAAAACGATTGTTTTTTTTTTGCAATTTGTACATATCGTGTAAAGTAGTAACTATAGAGATTCGTTTTGTGAAATGAAGATTTTGGATGTAGATACATAAATAAGCCATAATATGCATTCCACCTCAGACTTGACTTCCATAGTAGGAAGAAATCACCGCAGCACCAGAAGTTTCACATCAATTATGTTTTGCCGTCAGTACCCAGAGGAGCGCAACCACGACCTCGCTCAGATGTACCGCGCTTACTTCACGCGCAACGTGAACCCGACCAACTTGTCGCTGCTGATCGACGCGTACGTGCGCCGCACCGACCTGGGCATCGCGCGGGACTCGGCCACGATCCGCGCGCCCGTGCTCAACATCACTGGGGCGCTCTCGCCGCACGCCGACGACACCGTCACCTTCAACGGCCGCCTCCAGCCCACAAACTCCACTTGGATGAAAGTAAGTCTTGCAATACACACGTATCACGGTTCATCACGCTCACCTCAACTGACACACAACACAACGTCATACCTTATTCTAACCACTACTCTTCTTGTCATTGTTAGTTAAGTGAACCGTTTGTCGCTTAAAGATTAGCCGAAATAAAAACTTAGGCCCGAATTCCTGCTACGCTGACATCGGTCGCGTACGTCGGTCGCGCGTACTAATGTACATTGTGTTCTATATAGCCCCACACTACGACGCTGACGATAGTGGCGCGTAGTTTGCTACGTACGCGACCGACCGTACGCAACCGACGTCAGCGTAGGAGGAATTGAAGCGTTACAGTTCTTAAACAGTGAACCGTATACAAAACAGTTATGGTTGATGAAATATTTTTGTTAAAATTAAAATAGATAGTATAAAAATCTTTCTCATCAGGAAAAAATTAAATTATATCAAGTAAATCGTTGTAAAGATCGACGAAAGAAGACTACCTGTTATAACACCGATTACGGTAATACAATAAAATATGTGAGTTAATGCTATTACTCAATTATATAAAAGGAACGGTAAATTAATGTAATTAGAATTACAAGCTGGTAAAATTTCCAGTATTAATTCGAAGTTTCTTATTCAAAATCCTTGATAAATTTCTTGTTAACTTACTTTGTACTTATTTCGATTTCAAATGAAAACATTGAACGAAAATTAAAAAAAAATTATATTTAACTAGGACTTTCTCCTATATCGTCGTTTAGATACATAAATTAAAAAAGGAACAAACATACAGATGCGGAACAATTATTTGTAGGCCGTACAAAAAACTAAAACACATTAGGATCTGGGTTAATTACATAGTTTTCAGTAGCCTCTGTGTTGCGAGTTGTGGGATATTTAAAATCGGATTAGTACGGCAGGAACATTAATTGCTTTCCATAGTGAATGTGTTTTGAATTGAGATGATCTGAGTTATCCTGTCGTCTTCATCCTTTTACACGTGGTAGTTAGTACCTTAACATAGAATACCATCGTAAAATAGCAGCAAAATGCCGCTGTATATTGTATGATTAATGACGAAAACCGGAGACCCAAGTTTCTGGTTCGTTACCATTGCATTTTAGTCTTTAGGGATGACAACGCAAGTATTAATGAGGATAGATATGTGATGTGTTTGTGCGTATGGACCTCATCATTTACTTACCATCAGGCCGGTTTCCATATTATATCAAAACCGATTATGGACCACACCTTCCTTTTAAAAAAAAATAACGAACATAATATGTCAACGCAAAACTTGAAATTTAAAAAAAATAATCCTGGTGCTCACAACTTTAATAAAATAATATTTCAATGTCACTTGTGTAAAAGAAACTACCTCGTGGTAACCTCCCCAGACAATTTTATGGTATAAGCGCGACATAAAGAAGGTTAGGTTAAAAAGAACGAATGCCTATGTGTTACCGTGGATACTTGTAAAACTATAATGTCTATTGTGCTCTCGATGCTACTAATGCTGCGGTCTACACGTGAAATTGTTTCCGTATTCAAAATCAGCCAAGCGAACGTCACACTGAACAACAAACGAAGTGCATAACAATCATTAACTGCGTCATGGCTTGGTAACTCGTAAAAGTTGTGTGACACAGGCATCTAGTGTAATAGACCTGCAGCAATCGACAGGTGGCCGTCTTTTGTTAAATTAACATTTAGCTAAAGTTTCTTAGCTAAAGCTAAAGTTTTTTATATACGTGGTAGAGCCATGCTGCAGCTATATTAGTGGTATAGTTGTAGCACGAATGGGTCGGCTCGACCGGGGAAGGACCACGCTCTCACAGAAAACCAGCGTGAAATAGCAGCTTAACGCTGCTGTGTTTCGTATGGTGAGTGTAGAGAATCGTAGACCCTTTTTACTGGCAAAGAGGCATTCCGTCTTAGTCCTCACGGGTGACAACGCATCTGCATCTTGAGTCTTTATTGAGGATAGATGTAGATGTCTATGGGTCGCAGTGGCCACTTACCATCAGGTGGACTGTGTGCTCCTTTGTCACCCTATCCTATAAAAAAAAAGTTTCCTCTATTATATTACATTAATCCTTGCGTTTGCCTACTCGTCAGTCACGAGTAATACTAATTTATTTTACCGTTATTATAAAGTACTTAGTAAAATTGAAACTTTTATTTTATTTTATAAAATATGGGCGACAAACCTACACGCAGTCCACCTGATGGTATGTGGATGATATGGCCCGTAGACATCTACACTACATTTATGCTCTTTAACAATCAAAATGCCAAAAGGACTAAGATGGAATTCCTCTTTTCCAGTAAAAAGGCTCTCCAGTTCCCTACATTCCCCATACGAAACACAGCTGCATTAAGCTGATATTTTACGCTAGTATCCGTGAGAGCGTGATCCTCCCCTGTCAAGCGGACCCATTCGTTATACATACATACATACATACATACATACATACATATAATCACGCCTCTTTCCCGTAGGGGTAGGCAGAGACCACTTCTTTCCACTTGCTACGATCCTTACATACTTGTTTCGCTTCGTCCACTTTCATTATTCCCTTCATACATGCTCTTCGGTTTAGGGTACTCTTGACCTGGCCTTTCGCCATTCGTTCTACAACCATAATATAGCCGCAGCGTGGCTCTGCCGCGTATATACCATTATACATACCTATATATTTACGACTATAATATACCATTATTTGCTCAGTCCACTAAAGTTTGTTGCGTTTAAACCTTATTGTTTATTACTACTAACATCAAACCTCAAAATTTTTTTCTTACATATGGACAAATCCAACCTACATAAAACATTGATGGTTTATAAAAATAGGTAAACTCTCAGCGTTATATAGGTAAGTGGTCTTGAGAGTTTACAAAAAATCAATGCATTTTCCAAAAAAAAATGTGTGCTTTTCACAAAACCTAAACTTTAATTACTTTGGCATATGTGCCATTTTTATAAATATTATATAACATTAAAGTGACATACCAAGTTCAGTCCACCTGATGCTACTGCTACTGCAACCCATAGAGGCTCGCAATCAAGTTCAAAAAAAAGCTATAGATCCTTGTTAGTTCTGAGGCCTAAGATGGAATGCGTCACAGCCTGTATTTATACCGACTCTATTGCCCACAGACTGGAACACGGCAGTGCAATCATTAGCCAATAACGACTTTACAGAATTATCGTTTTGTTATTAAAAAAAAAATACCTCAGTTGTGATACGAACCCACCATTAACAGTCGTTAAGAAAACGAGCAGTTTATGTAATAATGTTTTTACAGTTCTATTTACACCAAATGCTAAAGAGGGAATTATCCGGCCACTGTTCTAGCGCTGAGCCCTCAGCCTACGAAAATAACAAACAATAATGGCCACTTCTAACATGCTTGGAGTAGTTAAAATCTAATATAACCTAACTTGATGTAACATGTCATGTCGTTTTATTTGTCCATTTAAATAAAACTAAGTACAAGATTCAGTATGGAATCAGTACATTTTTAAAAGTACGGAGAATCTAGTAATTACGCAATATGTTTTTGAGGTTATGTGGTAAGTGTATAATTAATCTGTAGCATAGTCATTGGTCACAGTCATAGTGATTTATTCCATAGACCAATATTACATTGTATTGGAAATTTATTACATGGATAAAGACTAACCTTTGCATGAAATTATCTATACATCTATACAAATAAATAAAATTGAAGTGTCTGTTTGTAATGTCAAAATTACAGTTTTTTACTAAATGCATATGAAAGTAAATACGATACCTATAACTAAAATACAATTTTTAAAATTTTTGTCTGTCTGTCTGTCTGTCTGTCTGTCTGTTTGTTCCGGGTAATCTCCGAAACGGCTGGACCGATTTTGACGGGACATTCACTGGCAGATAGCTGATTTCATAAGGAGTAACTTAGGCTACTTTTATTTTAAATAAGAATCAGGGTTCCGCGCAGAAACATAAAAACCCTAACACGCGAACGAAGTCGCGGGGAACAGCTAGTCTTAAATGAATTTACAATCGAATAAATTATAAACATCATTTGACAATCATTGTACTCGTAAATTAATTAAATACGTTTCATGTCATAATATATTATAAATTATACAGTACATAAACAATAAAAATTAATATTCAATAAGTTTATTTTTGTCATTTAGGTAATCGTCAACTGAGTAGTAACTTTTTTTAATAATTTAAGTTTAATAATTTAATGATTTAAGTTTATTTTGTAATTTGTGGTGATAATAAATAGTTTTAAACGAGGTAGGCAAGGAGTTAATTAGAAGAGCATTTTCAAATTAATGGTGTTTGTTGGTTAACTTATGTTTATACGGTTGTCATTGTCTAGACTTTAATTTCTATTAGGAAACATAATTTATTTAGACTAGAAAAAGTATTGTTATAACGTAGTGATCCTATCAATGAGTTCTTTTATTATGTGTATTTGATGTAATTGATGCGTTATTATGATATTTAAAACTGTGTTCTGATAGGCAAAGTAAATTTCTTTAAAGACGATTATTTATATTTCAGTCAAACTCATTCTCTTCTTGGCAGAACTGGAGACTGAGCGACTGCTCGCGTACACTTAAAGTACACACTAAGTTGCATAACTCTTCACTGCTTTATCTCGATCTTCCGAGTTCGGATTACTCCGAAATATTTATCGTTTTCTGAAATAAGAGTCCAGTAGACATAAACTGGAAAAAATGTTTTTAATGACTTTACTTTTATCAAAGCTGATTATTAAAAATAAACCTTACAGATCTCCGATTCCGGCATGGTGCTCGAAGAGCAGCCCGGCAAAATCTCGGAAGCTTTTCGCCTCTTCTTACAGGGAGAGGGCTACGGTAAGTAACAGAATGTCGGGTCCATTCGTAATTTAAAAATAAATCAACCATTGTTACAGCTTAGTCCTAAGCAATAGCGACGTCAATGTCAAGCGAACTGTCGAATATGATAACTAAATTATCACCAAGACGTATTAGCTCCAAAATAAATAATCGAATACTATCTTTTCATGTAACTTTGGCTGCATATGCTTATTCATTCATAAAACTGATAATTATTGCATTAAAATAAAGTTAACTGTTTCGCGTCTTACAAATTACTGGAATTTATTGTATACGGTAAGGCCAGCGAGTCGCTTAGTGGTACACAGGATATTTTTTTCTTAAAATTCAAAATTTCAAAATTCGCATACTAATGGAAGTCGTCAGAATTACATAAATTAGGTATTAACAGTCACAGTAGTCACGGAACAATTTTATTATAAATTCTTCATCTTCACGGGCCTCTCCCGTTGCATAAGTCACGCTCGAAGCAATCGGCAACCGACGTACAAGACCTCGCCACTTTTGATATCGCTCTCCGTTACCGGTCTGTGTATTTACATCTTATATATAAGTACGAGATCGATCGGAGCGCACAAAATCTTTTGGGCATTTCCCTAAGTCTTCTTACGTATCCTCACCGCCTTTGTACCACAAATCAAAATGAGATTGAGATGCTGGGTACTTTAATGCTACTACCACACGTTCCGAAATTATGTCAATGTTATGGCATGATGATGACTGACACTGCATAGGTTGTGGCGACAAAGGGAAGTAGAGTAAAAATACGAGCAATCTTGTACAACGATTGCCTGCCATGTGTGACTCTTTATTGGATTAAGTGTATCCTTCCTTCTATGAGAGACGCCCACATCCAACAGTGGAGTTTTGGCGAACTAATTAGTATCAGAAGAAATACCAAAAACTAACGAACAGGGTTTAAAATAATTAAAATTATAAAGATGAAGATATATTGTAAACATTATACAGTATGTAAGGAAAACCCTGTCCGATCCGGAAAGAAATAGGTACCGTACCCACATTACCAAAAACAAATAAATCTTCGTAATATTATTAATTAATTAATTTTTTTTATTTATTATAATGTTTTTGCTAAAATTTACTTAAAATTATTTAACAAATTTAAAAAATTAGGCACGCCGAACCGTCGCGTCGTCGGCGACGTACTCTTTAAATGTGAACTGTCAGACTGTCACACGACGGCTGCCCGCGTCGCATGTATTGCCATATATTTTTTCCCATTTAGTTAAATTTTATTTTACTTTTTGTTGATTTTCTTTTTATTTATACACTGAAAGAATCAGATCAAAATCAAATTCACATGAACAGAATAATAACGCGATATGTATATATATACAAAATCAAAAGCACACTCACGTTCGGACAGGGTTTTTTACATATTGTGTATGTTATAAACGGCGACAAACTTAGATTTCAAGCCTATATTATAGCAAAAAATCTGTTTCCAATATAGTACTGATTAATTTATCATTGACGGTCGCCGCATCTGACCTTATTGCGTGTGAAATTAAAAACACATAGTGACTGCTTGCAAATATAATGCAAATCACTCCAGGCACCTACAGGTCAGCGTGCTTACATAATTTACAGCGTGCTTACAAAATTACATTACATAATTTATATCGTTTCGCAGGCCTTACCTTAGAATATTATGTGATACTTCAAAAACTTACTATAGTAATTTTATATTATATAATGATAACTTGCCAACAATTGAATATTAATATTACTGTGCTTTGTATAAAACGGAAACATTTATATCCCTAAGGCATTTTTAACAAAGCTTTATATACTTTATGCTGATTTCTAACACAATTAGTTTATGCTCACTACCATGACCACCACACATTGTTTATTTATGTAGAGTTTCATAATATGCGAAGCCATCTAACGTGCTCTACGTAATATACAGCAAGGGCACAGTTCGAACAAGAGGAGAATACGCCTTGAGAAACGTTTTTAAGTTCTCGCTATTTTGTTTCCTATTTTTCACACATTTTAGTATACTGTATTCTTTGATTAAGATGGTGGCTATGGCAAGGTATATTTTAAAGAGTCGGGTGCCGGCTTTGGCTTTCCATTTTATTACTATGATGTTAATTGGTTTAATGAATAAAGGACGCGCCTTCACGCCTCGCTCAATAAGTGCAATGCATCACTTGTTTACACTACACTACTAACACTTAGCGCTTACCTCCTTAGCAAATGTTCTGGCCTGCTGACCGGCATGACGTGTATGTTTCATTTTAAGATATAATAATTGACCTAAGTTTAGTTTTGTTTTTATATTTTACTTTACGATGATTTTTATAAAGTACGATGTGTAAAAATATTCAATGGAGAAAGATATATGGGTTCTTTTAAATCTAATAATGGAGTACGTACCCGAAATATCCTAAATATGTAAAATGAACTAAATACTTATTAGCTTTACATTCTTCAATTTTACAGCGACATTATTATAATTTTGCATATAACTATTTAGTCCTTTAAAAAAAATAAAAAAATTGTTTTAAATCCAACAAAATTTATGATCCACATCATTAACAAGTTCAATGTATAGTCTATTGGTTTATTTTACAAACTATAAAACTGCTGTCTTATTGAAGTTCATATATATATTAAGTAATATATATTATAAACTTATTAGATTACAAAAATTAAAAATAATTCACTTGAACAACATAATTGGTCTCAAACCCCTTTTTCTTTTTTCTATAATTATGTTTGAGCCTGGATATGCGATTGAGTTATGCGGCATCCCCAATTACTTGGTATGTATGCAGACAGCTTGCTGCATCAGCATAAATAATTTTGTGATTAGTTAATACTTGTATATCTAGACGCACGCTTATGTTTGTAGCTTTTCATAGACAGTCAGTGTTGTATTATTTCGGGTAAATGTTTACCAATTTCAGTGTCATTAAAACGACGATGATCTTTTTGTTGGTAAACATATTCAAACTGCATTGTAATCATGTTTATTGCTAGTGTTTGTAAGTACACTCCATATTATTATAAAAGTCATACGTATGTATCATGTATTAATAAAAGGAACACATCATTCACCTTCTCACTTGAGTGTCGTAAATATCGGCTAAAAGATATTCCAAACTAATATGGCGTGACAGATAGCGGCGGACATATGGACAGTAAAAATAAAAGATCGATAACCAACAGTAGAATGCTAATCGGTTATTGATGTTAACACCTATTTATTTAAGGATTATAGTTAACTATGTTCAAACCAATCAATGTTTTTTGCCAGAAGGTACAATCTGGCAGCCGTTATGTTATTTTTTAATATTAATATGTTTTTTAATAAATTTTTATTATTATATTAAGGTATATTAATATAATAATTTATTATTAATATAATATGTTAATATTTAATATTTGAATTAAACTAGTTTTTTTAGGGTTTATGGCGATATCTTAACTCACTATGAACCGCTATTTATGTTTTTTTTTTAAATTAAATAGGTGATACACCAACCTTTGAAAATATCGACAAAAATTCCACCCCTAAGGGTGGTAAAATGGTGATTGAAATTTTTAATGTTACTGCTATTCAGAGGACTTGGAGATTGTGATATTCCTTATTACACTCAATGAGTAATCTCCAGCTGAACATAGACGAGGCTAACTATCGAAGCCGCAAAGTACTCGAAACATCGGGAATATGGGAAACGGTTAATCATATGTGATACAATCCGTAAAACAAATTAATTATGTAATTAAATATATTATAGTGTTCGCGTAAGCAGAAACAATTGATATTTAATGTTCAATCAAATTGATTTCTTGTGACAGTAAATTTTGGAAGTATTAACGTATCATACCTTCTCCTACCGCGTATATGTAGTACATTCCAGCTACTTATTGTAATTTAGTTTTTGAACGGTCCGCTTATTGTTACTGACCATATTATTTCAATTTATAATTAAGGTCCAATTTAGAAGAAACAGTATTGTTGTGTCACTTTTAATAAAATATATTAATATTACAAGTCCCTTCTGATGTGTTCCTATATTATTCCTATAATATAATCTAGAAAGATGTCTATTTTAGAAAAATTCATTTTCAATTTTCATACATTTATTTTTATTTTTGACGATTACTAGAAACAATTAGTATCTATTATTATCGTCGCTCTTCACCAGAGAGTAAATTCGTGCTTAGTGTGTATACTAACACATTATAATAAAAATAGGAATAGTAGATAACATTATTTAGTTAAATTGTTTTTATTACGGTAAGGTGACAAATGAGCTAATAGTCCTTCCGATGGTAATAAGTGGCTCCTACTGCTCTTGGGCACCTGTAACGAACTTCAATCTAAGAGACTACAGGTGCGTTTTCACCCCTGAGGACGAAATAAAATGCCGCATAACTTGTAATGAATTTGGCACCCAAACTTTTCAAACCGCAGTGAGTGGGTAAAAAAAGAACCCCGCTATCACGATAATGTTTCTAGTAATCCTCTTACACATCATCTATAAATTGCACTCACATTGATTACTCACACAGTTGCCATGCAAGTGGTTTAATTTCAATTATATAAATTGGTGGCAAAAGTGTGGACGCGCTTAGCATCCGTATATTGATATAAAACTTTTGTTTCCGCTCCGAAACCGGTAGCTGTGTTGTCACTGCAAAAATTAAGCACTCGCCGCAGTAGTAATGTATCGCAGCCAAGCTCAATGACCAACTAGATCGTATGTTGCTATGCAGTTTACGTATTCGGAGTAAGTTGTATTTATTTTTTTATTTTCTATTTTTACTCAGTCAGAGGCGAACACCTATCAAGATTTTTTTAAGAACATATGATATGGATGTATGACGAGCTCTTTTTACCTTTCTATCGCGTTTAAAAACGTAAGCATGGTCAATTGTCAAAATCTCTACTAAAATTGTTGAAACTTTCTTGATGATGTTCGTCATTTTGCTATTTTTCTGTTCCGTTGGTTGTTTAATTTTTAATTAATTATGTAATGGTTAAAAACCATATCATAATATAATTGATGGTATAATCCATTTATCAAAAACCCTGCAATCACATAAACATCAAATGACACTGTCGAAAAAAAGGGCCATTATGAAAAGTTCCGTCCCCTTTCCTTACGTTAATAATGAATTATGAGTATATTTCTCAAAAAAATTGGGGATGATTTATTATGCATTTTCCAGAAATTTAAAATTACGTTAAACAAAGTAAATCATTCGGGTATTATTCTTTAGCCTATATTCAACATTTCATTTCCAGATTTTTTCTGCGATATTTTTCGAAACGAGGGGAGGAACAGCAATTTTGAAGCTGGTTTATCAAGTTAGTTGCAAAGCAAAGAGCTAAAAATTGATATTCCAAACTCCAAACGATGATTTCAAATCTCAAACAATTTAATTCTTTTTTTTAACCTCCAAAACTGACACTTAAGTGGAATATTCGATTTTTTTAATCTCATGTCCGTATTTGGGCACGAGCATTATACAATTATGCCAAATTCCAATCACTTACATTTTATGGTTGACAGACAGACACTGAGGTAATTCTATAAATGTTCCACGCTGATGTTGGTGTAGGATTTTATTCTCTTGGAGTACCGACAGAATTCCTGTCTTTTATAAAATATAAAAAAGAAATGTTAGAGTAACTTACTCTTTAATAAATAAAATTTTAGGTATATGTGTTTTTAAGTTTAATAAAAATGTAGTGGCCTTACATATAGTGCATTTAGTACACAAATTGATGAGAATTTAGCACTCTTGCTTTAAAAGCGCTAATAAGTAATCTGCGAAGCAAATACGCATGCTATGTGCATGCCTGTTTGCCAAATGATATCTACCACACGTCAATGGGCGCGGGTTTGCGTTGTGTTCTGTTGTCATAACAAATAAGAACTGCAATATTTGGGGTAATGAGAACTCAACTCAAACTCAACTCGAGCAGCGCACTTATTCCATATTTCAAACATCACAATTATTATTGTATAAGTGCTAATCATTTCATTGTTTTTTTTGTGTTTGTGAAACAAGATTAAAATATAATGCCAGTACTATTGAAATACAATCGCTATGTAAGCTAGGCTAACTGAAAGAGTGATAAATAAAGCTGACCTCGGTAGGATGAACCACCTGAGTGCGCGTAACAGCTTTAAATTTGACGATGTTTGGATCGAAAATTACTTGTTTTGGCTTGCCATTCTAATGCTGTCCGCTGTTACAGTGGCGCCGCTCTCGCCGACGAAGATTGTCGCGTTCCGGCGACTGTCGGACGCTGGCCGTCGCCGTCCCTGTCGTCACTCGCCCGTAATCCGTATCACTGAGAACCCTATATCGGAGGCGGTAGTCTGCTAAACACCCCCCAGCCTACCCCTAATTTCACCTACCCCACCATAAAAACCTTCGTCACCCGTTCTTGTGCTCGCTGACGTGCGTTCGCGGAATTTTATTTCAATAAATCAATAATAAGTGATTTACCCTCATTTATCAGTTTACACTCCATGCATTTGACAGCCACGGCTCTATTTATCGTTATATATGTTATGAAATTAATTATTTAGTTATAAAAATCAAATTAGACATAAATTTCCGCGATCGTCCCTCAGTAAGAATGTCATAGTTGCACTTATTCCTAACCAACTGGGTCACATCGCGTCGGTTCTACCGAACCACGCACTCAGTGTACATATCTCGAGGTAAGAGCCTCTCATTTAGAATGAGGCATCTCAGTGTAGCGTGGAATGCGAGACGGGTGACGCTAACTTCGCACGGGGGAGTCTCACTGATCGACTTGTATCATTGTATAGTTATAGAAAAATTTATTAGAGGCACACGAATATATAATTCACATGCATAATATATTAACTATATGTACACCACTATTATGCATTAAATATCAAGTACTCTGGTAGACTAGGGTCGACACCATTTAACGCATATATTGACGTAATGTCTAACTAACTGGGTCACTGTAATGACCGTACGTAAACACAAACATTTACAATACAGTTCAGTAACCGCTTCAGTCTGGAGTAAGTTTCACTAAAAGTCGGCGATCTCTACAAGAGTCGCAGTCGATAACTTTGTAGTACTAAAACATTTCGGAGAAATCCGCTATACATGTTTAGCACGGTTAATGTAAAGTAGTTGTTAATTGAGAATGTTACACGATGGGCTGCATTAATGTCGCTGGGTGCTATGCTAAGACCAAGGAAGTTTTAGAAATCATTTAACGAAAAAAGTTTTTAAAAAATTTATTGCTATTTATTTTTAAGTGCTATGTACCGTTAGTTTTAATTCAAGGCCTCTATTGTGTATCGAAGAGTTGTGATCTACTTGTTAGAGTGAGAAGTTTTGTATGAATCAATCGCTACCAATTGCCTTATGTTAATTATTTATATCTTTTTCAGTATTATAAGGGTATTAATACGTTTAGTTATTATAAAAATGTTACCTCCCACCTGACACTGCATTAGTGATGTAGAACAAATAATAGAAAATAACTATAGTGCATAATTAATTTCGGTATTTATGATTGTATAATTTTATTTTTATTACATCAAAGCAGTTAATTTTAGAGCGGGGTTGCTGATGTAAAATATTGGTCAACAAATACATTCACTAAAATTTTTTTTTAATACTATATCTTGGCGATGACTATGCCACAATAAATGAAAAGGTTTATTAATCATTGTTGAAAAAGCATTCTAAAACCATTGTTTTTTTGACGCCAATATAAAAAAATCAAGAATAGTAAGTTCCCAGGTGGGGTCTACTTTCTTGATGTAACATATTTTTTTACAACTGAACATATTATCTGTGGACATAGTTCCATGTCTCTTAACTTTTGCATAGTAACAAGACATGCAATGCATTTATGGCGAATTACTAAATAGAATAAAATCCTGTTGTTTATGCTCTAATAGCGCTGTTTAGAATTTTTAACGTTTATTGTGGCATTTTAATCACTATCCTTATGTTAGTTGTCGGTAATTTACACATTAGATTAAGTTCGCTAAGCATATTAAGTTCTGAAATCCGCTGAGTGTATTTGACGATACATAAGTAAAATATATGAACGAAAGGAAAGTAAAAAGAAGGAATTTTCTTCGTAGCTAAAATAGCGTCGATCTGTAGATGTTCGATAAAGATATTTGTTTGACGTTTAGCACACACGTGCAATGCGGACTTGTATCCGCGACGTCAAACACTTAACTTTCCCGCATATAACAAACGCTTTGTAGAAGTACAATAAATAAAGAAAATAATGCAATGATTTCTAGAATCTCAAATTACATCAAAGCTAAATTAATGTTGTTTCGTTTGAATGTGTTTATAAATTATTTGTGAATTTATTATGAGTCTATTAAAAAGTGATTTTATAAACAAGGGTAGTTTTATTTATTGAGTAGCTGAGCACGCATGCAGTGCAATGCCTATTTTGTCAGTAACCTTCAGACGCGTGCATTACAACACTGGTTTTATCGTAATCGAATAGATGGTATAAACGCAAACGAGACAAATAAAGAAACATTAATTTTTAAGTATATAGGAAATGTATTTAAATATATAACCATTATGTTTCTTGTTTTATTTAACAGCCGAATCTCGATAACTCGAACCTCGTTTAATCCACAGTACGAGGGGCGTTCAATGTATTCTCGGTATGGGTATGTTAGAAAAAAGATAAAGTTATAGGTTAGAAATAAGTAGTATATAACATAATATTTCATAATTTTATCTTTTATATGAGTTATCTCCTTTCTAACGCCCCTCGTAAGACGACAAAAATGCCATTCCCTTCCGCTGAACCCCTAAATACGCGGTATCTCGAATTATTTAGACTTTGTAACTGGAACAAAATGTTATTTCCCTGCGAGATATTGTGATAGTACATATTTTAATACTATATAACTCGAATTTTCGAAGTTAGTAATATATAAAGACGTCTTTATTATTTGATAATTGTATCCATTTATTATTCTAAAAGTAAATGTTCACTGCTGCCCATTAACTGCAGGCGACATGAGATCAATTGTTGATGCTTCGCCAGTTATTAAGAAAGCTGGCGACAGTGAATTGCACAATCTAGCCGTAGCAGGCAGAATATTCCGCAAAATATGCCTGGCGGATTGGCAACCATTGAGAAGATAGAAAGTCAGAATCTAGAATTGTGTCGTAATTACGAAGTTGATACTTAGTAGTCAGTAGTCAAGCAGATCAATAAGAAAGCGGCAGTAGTCAGTTTTTAGCCGCTCTTTGTTGGATATGGTTAATTGGAAGGAGCTGGCATTAATGTGCTCCCACCAGCGACTTGCGCCTCCTTGATCTACCTTCACTGAAGTTGCAACGGTAGGCATTAAATGCTGCTCCGCTCTAATAAGCACGCCAAGCTTTTTTGGGGCTAATTTGACTTTTACCTTCACGGATCACGGCTGGGTTCCAATGCATGAGGCAATGATGGAATTGTATTAATAATGAAGAGATATGGAGAATGCAATAAATCCTTAATTTCATCCATTGTAAAACTTACATTTATATAAATAGCAACAAAGTATAAGTAAATTACAGGATAGAATCATCATCATATCCTATCAAAGTCCGCGACTGAACCTAAGTCTCCCCACAGCCTCTTCATTAGAGGATATTAACCATAGTTTGAACGCTTGAAAGGCGGGGTAGGCAACCACAATTTTTTATTATTTTTAGTTTATATCAGAAACATGCTACTGCAAGTCTCTTGTATCAGTTTCCATCTGTAGCGCGTCTTACGACACCCACGGAATGATATATGATAGCGGATTCGCTTACGCTGCCCTTAAACGGCGAACTCCTACCAAATGAGAGCAAATTTCAAGATATGCTTGATGTAAATTATAACAAGCTGAAAGAAATGAAAAATGATCAACACAAAGATATAACTTAAAACAAAAACTTGAACCTGCAAACAGAAAATTAGTTCAGAAATGAATGTATTGCTGCTTCACGACTAGTAGTGCTTCAGGAATTTGTCAGAAAATTCGAGCTACAATACGATTTTCCTTCCGGCGAGTTGTGTCTACAGTTTCTTTCTCTCTCCTTTTTTTTCGTGGGCTTAAATGCGAATACCGAAAAATTAAGAACCAAATTTCTAAACGTAATGACAATATGAGGCAATCTATGAAGAGTCCACAGTAGACGTCGATAGACTAGTTATTGAATGAATATAAATAGATATAAATATAAAGAGTAAATATCATCGTAACTTTTGTCATTTTGTACAAGTAACGCACAAAAAACTATAAACAGATTTTATGTGTGGCCTATATATACGTATGGGTACAGAACACAATTACTCTCTACCAAGAGAAGAACGCCAACTTCATACTAAAAACGTAAACACGTGTTTATGAATGTACACTAAAAGCGCTACGGCGGTGGACGCCCATATAAAACTTTTTAGCGGGAACTTCGAACCTTTGTATTCCTGTAACTTTAAACTTTTTATTTAAGGCACTTTCGAGTAATTTTGGCACAAGCCTCACAAACCTATGGGGTAAATTCCCATATACTCGTATTTGAGAGGTTGCACCAAAATTACTCGAATATACTTTAGATTAGTATGTGGGATAAAATAAAACTATAAATAAGTATAGTTATGTAATTTTATTTTCTGGAAGACTTATTGTACACGATAAACTATTATTATTTATGTTTTTTATTGCTTTTGTACATAATATTTCCACGCTTGTTACTGATATATTGTCAGAGAGTTATTCTTCACAGAACATTAACGTAAATTTAAATCAGCAAAATTATCATGATGAAAACTTAACTCAGCCCAAATACGTGATCTGAAACAGATACAATCCGAGTCAATATAGTAATAATCCCTACAAATAACGGCCAATAAATTCAAAATGTTTATAGACTTACCATAACATTGTCATAAGTTTTTCTTTTCCTATCATAGGAAACCTGCAGACAGTGATCAGATGATTTTGTGCTTTTTATTTGCACAACGCTTATCTTACTTTCGATGATGATCACACATCGTGCATAAAAATTTAAAATAATGAATTCATTTATATTCAATATCTTATACAGAGTTAACACCTCACAAAAAATCTTTACTTTATATTCACGACGATATTATGACTGTGTATTCACCAACATACCAAAATGAACTCCATAATAACTGAATTTAAGTAAAAATCAATAATAAATATTAAAAACTAAACCTATGAACTAAATATTAATAAATTTCAGAAAATATCTTCAATACGAAAGACGTTGACAAACAAATGTCATTTTTTTCTTTTTCTATTAATTCGTGGCTTGTTTTGATATAATTCTGTTAATATTAAATAATTTAATTTAAATGAATTAATAGGTAAATTAACAGTGCAAATCTCAGAGTAATATGTATGTAATTATACTTTAAAGAGCAAACCAAAAAAAGCTTAACACAGAATTAACATTTTTAGTTTCTTCTGATATAATATGAATTTGTGTATCTAATTTTTAAAATGGCAATATAAAACAACATGACGGAAAGAAACAACGATATTCTTTCTCGCTTTACTTTTACAAGCCCAACACAAACATTGAAATCATGATTGTGTGCAAATTTTTCAGCTTGCATACAAAGTTGGATCACCCTGCGTATGGGCAATGGTAGTCAACGGGCAGTGATGGTAAAGGAAAAACTAAAAGGCGTTGAGAAGAAATTATCACTGGAAACTACACACACACACACACGCACACACACACACATACTTTCAACAACGCTAGTTCGATTATTTTTGATATCCGATTTATTCGGTACATTGTTTTGAGACCATGTTTTTTCATTCCTCTGTTTCAAGATACCTGTGCTCAGTAGTGAAAGTAAACAGCCTGTTAATTTAAGAAACTAATAAAGGAGAACATCTTTCACTTTGAACAGACGAGAGCTATTTAAAAAAAAATAAGCAGGTGAAATTTACGTAAGTTTACATTGGTATATAAGTTAATCCGCCTTTAATCAACACTACGATCAGCAGCATTTTGAAACACATCTATAAAAAAAAACACATTCTGCCTTTTTCCATCACCATAGTAGAATATGGTTAAGTAATTCATATCGACTGAATTACTAAATAACATTGGATATAGACACATATGTGATTAGCTAAACAGCCTTCTAGAAATGTTCTGCTATCAATTATTGATTTCTAGGAGTAAATGTTAAATAAAACAAGATTTAATGACTCATGGATATATTTTGATACCAACAAACCTAGATTATACAAAATAACTGCAACTGTTAAAAAATAATTCTCAATGCTATTAACTTATGCTTAATATCTCACTTAAATATTACGTGCTTATAGTTATGTACAAGGCAATACACATTTATTTTATATCATGCAATGTTATTGAAAAATTGCACTGAAGACAATTATGTCTTTATTTTTTTATACAGTCTTCTACTTATTAGATACACACACATATATATATATTTATTAGATCGTTGCTGAACCATATGGAGAAAGACTGTAAAATAAATTGAGAACACGAAACTGTGTTATCATAGTTTAGGCGAGTGCAATGCTACATGCTATGTCATAATTATATTAATACAAATTAATAAAAATTAAAATGGGTCATTGTGATAAGTATGGATTATTATTATTGCCCAGAATTATTTAATTAAAATAAAAGATATTTTGTATTTAAATAAAAATAAGACAAATTTCTTCTCAATATCGTGTCCACTTATAACTTAATACCTTAGTCAAACTCTTGCCCTTTTGTCACATTTTGAAACATTTTTTAAACCAAAAATCCAATATTAATATATGACACATATTGGCTATATACTTTACTTACCTTTGTTCTTCTTTGTCTCCATTACATGATATCATTAACTGTAATCTCTCCCTACTAGTCATATTATATAAGAGCACTATATGTCAATCGCGTAACTGTTCAGAACCTACCTACGATGCTGTTTTTATAAAAGTACAAACTTAAGGATTTACTATTTGCAGAATATTTTAAGTTTTTAAGTTTAGACCAGTAAATACTTTTCGTTACAAGAAATTGAAACACCTAGTTTCATATTTATTAAATTCGATCTCTTAATAATTTCGGACGCAGCAAGCAATTATTACGTTCGAACGGCTGATATTTCTAAAAATATTGTACTTAGGAATTCAGTTACAACAGCGTTTTTTTTACATCAGTTTCAAATTGTTATGTCGAAAGTATGTAAAGGTATCCTGATTTTTTGTTAATATAATATACTTAGATGTGTTTTATGTAGGAATATCGAAACTAAATTTTGATAACGAAAATATTACTATTTTTATCTAAAACATTAGTCTGGACTGGACGAAATCACTTTATAAAAATTACGATGGCACGAAAGTTCTAAGGCGCAGCACGCAAGTGAAATATTTTTACGATTTTTCCCAGCTTGTCAAGCATATGTTCAAAGTTAGTAGTAAGAATGTGTAAATGAGCGATAATCGTGTTTTGTATAAAATTGCTTACCAATTTACCGTTGTGTCATTTTAAAAGGCGCGAATGAAAAGTTGATTACAAACATTTATTTTGGTTCATTGCAAGCTAAAATATTCTGTGATAATAAACTGTTATCTTGTTGCTGTCGTTGGTAAATGGACGATACAATTGAACAGAAAACAAAATAGCGGCAACTATCCATATAAGCATATAACTTCTTGCAAGTGATGCTTTTTACACCGGCCGTGCCAATATTTCTCGGAATCACGTCATCGAGTACCGGAACGAACTTGTTTCTGAAGTCGAGTCGTTGTTAAATAAAGTCTCAGTGCTTGTTCATGTAGAAAACGCGGGCACAGGGGCGGCAGACCGCGCAGAGGTTTTAGGCGAGCTCATGTTCACGTTGGCCACTAGACGTTTGCGGGAGTGTGACGTGTTGTCTGAGGTTGTGAACATGGACGACGAACATTTATTTTTTCGCAACTTGCTAGCTACTTCAATCGCACCTGAGTTTTGTACGTGAACACTTGCGTATAATGCTGTGTTTGATATTTCGTGACCGTGCCCGCCTCCGTATCCGCGACCTAATGTGAGAATGTGCAAGCACTCAGATTGGGGACGACTAAATCTAATCCAGTTTAACCCTCCGAAGACACAGGTTTACCGCTAATAAGAACCCTTTTTTCGTATTTCTTCAATTTAGGGGTACTCCCTTTGCTGCCTCAGCTAGCATCGGAATCCTCGGCGTCGACATATCAAATTATATTCAGTTTCGTGGTCACGTGGAAAAGAACACGAAATTGGCCTCTGAACAGCTACATTATCCAGTGCATAGTGGGTCTAATCGTCGACGACCGAGTTCTTTCTGAACGGCTCGATTCACTTACGCTGCGTAGAGATGTTGCATCTCTTTGCGTATTTTATCGCATTTACCACGGGGAGTGCTCTGAGGAATTGTTAGGACTAATTCCAGCCGCTCAATTTCACCACCGCACATCGCGATAAAACTTGTGATACCGGAACGAAGCTGTGTCAGTTTGTTACAAATTATTTTTATATTTGTTCTTCCATCCAAGATAATTATTATTATTACTTAACTTAATAGGTAGTTATATATTATTGGTTTGCGTATAGACAGTCTTCATAAAATAACATCACTCTAACTTTATGACGTAGCGTAAAGTTAATGTTATTAATAATTTAACTATCACGAATTATACTTAATCAGTTTATTGACATTACATGATATATCAATAAATTGCTCGAATTAGTAAGTCGAGTACATCACTAAATTGTAGACAGACACTGCTAACCTAAGACGTCGCCCCCAACAACATAAACTACAAGTGAATTAGTGAAGTAACACTAATCTATTGCTCTCCGAATGTACACGGTGCGTCGAGTTGGCTCGGTAACTCTAGTGTAAGCGGGCTCGAGTAAAATTAATTTTCACTCGATTAAACAAATTCACTCGATTCACTCGAGTGAAAACAGAGTTTCATCACTAATGTAGGAATAAAGTCTGTGATGGTTAAATAACTTTTTGGTAGCAAAATTAAAAAGTTTAACTTGTTTGTTTACATTACAATACAATAAAATATTGTCTCATAGATGCACAAGTGTATGGATAAATGGATTATATGGATATACATTATATTCGTATCATAATATGGATAATATCATGCAGGTTAGCCAAATTTTAATATTTCAAATTATTGTATTTCTCTTCTATATATTATGTATGTATTACAAGAGTTTAATTTTCCGCTTAGAATTTTAGAAAATTTATAATTTGTGTTGAATTACCTAAAACAAATAACAAACACAGGTCTGAGAACCTCATTAGTATGTTTAAAGTGACAACGTATTAAAGTTTTATGTTATAAGTAAAATCTAAATTAAATATTAGATAGAATAAATACACAAAACAAGTGTTTGTGTATGTTAAAAGAAAATTAGAATCTATGGGTCGAGGAATTTAAGGAAGCTTCTCTATTTGATGTAACTTCATGGGCTTTGAAGAGGGATTCATTAAACTGCATTTAGGTCAAATACATTATGTATTGAGCAAGTTGCTCCATATAACTTGACAATACTTAATGGCTTATTATTTGGTAGTCCAGGCATGTAATGTAGGCATGTAAGCCATAAGTTGACAGTTTTAGCACAATCTGATGAACGGTATGGCAGCGCATAAAGCCTTACGAGGCAAAGGGAACAGCTCGTTTACTCCTGACGTAAAACACGGAGACGGGCGATGGTAAGTACCTAAGATGCGATATGTCTTATAATTCGATCGTCAATGATCCTACTAAGCTCAAGACTAAGGTAAATCCTACCTACAACATGTCCAATTGACTTCTACGAGCCGATGAAGAAGAATGAAGATGCGATCCCACTACTTCATAAACTCATTGACACCATGATATAGTGAAAAAAGTTGTACCCAATTTTGATTAAATATTTATTGCGTTTTGGATATTTACCGTCATTTTGTTGGTTGTGCTATGATAACGAATCATTAGCTATATTAACTACACTTCGTACACGCGTATCGATAGAACACTAGGCCTTACTGATTCTTCTCTTACAAAACATGGTTTATTGAGTCTTGTGCTTAAAGAGCTTAATGACATTAATCGTATAAAGTAACTTTTGTAATAAAATTATAAGAATTTTACATTTGTATTGTTATTATTATTATTACATTGATTAATTTATAAAAAAAAATCACTATAATTCAACAACATTCATGTACACCAGGCTTTAATATATTGAACTTTAAGTTAAAGCGTATTTCAGACAGAACGCACGTGGCGGACGAAGCGTATTGCGTATAAGTGTATTGCGCATTGTAAAATGAATCTTATCCATGGTTTCCATAATATAATATGCAGTTGCAAGTTATTCAAAACGAACATCTGGCAGATATTTTTATCAAACTAAGGCATCATAGGATATTAGATCAAGTGTTTTACTGACATAAAGTCCATATTTCAATACACATTCAGCGCCCTTTTTGTGCAACCAGTCTGAAATAATCCTGAGGCGATTGAATACAGTATAAAAATGTTTAGCTACTACTTAAAAGAATACAGTGAAAGTTGCATAGATATTTATACGTTTTTTTTTTTTAAATATATTTTAAGTTTCCTGTCACTGTCTGTCATATTCACAATTAATACGATATAATACGACCGTAAGAATTATGCTAATAACAAACTATAGCGAGCAAAGTGGAACGAGGAGGATAAGAGGTAGAGTTCAGCTATGCTACTTGAAGAGGGAGGAGAAAACTATTATATCGGAATATCGGATACGCTAGTACGCGCTTAATATAGTCACCTATGTGTCAACAATTGAGTATTCAATTTATATTATATTTAATTACATAATATACATTATTCAATATCATGGGAATTAATAGGACAAGCACTTGTAATCATACGTTCCACGAGAAGGACAGGGTTGTACAAGAACGGGGCTAGAGAAGGATCGATACAAGTCACTTTCGGCTACATATGAGGAAAAAGCTATCCAAAAAGGACTACAATGGACTTCAAAGTTTACTTCTAGACTTGTATCGAAAATACAGCACGCTTGTTGAGAGTAAATGAGGAACCTATTATGTTAAGCTGTTATAAAATATCATACTTTTTTAATTTACAAGAATTAATATCAAGGAGTTCTATAAGCGACGTAAATTTATCCTTACAGAACAACTCTTGACTAACACCGAAAAAACCTATTTCAGAGAAGAATATCATGCCACTTGGCTGACAATTATTTACTAATAGAAAAAGTAAACGCAGATTTTAGTTTTAAAGGTAAGAAGAATTTCTCACAACATGCTAAGTCTTTTTCATAACCTTATGTAAAGTTTACTGACAATATCACACGGACATTTAAATAACAATGTGTACAATGACTTAGAAGTAAATAGTATTAATACTAACAAACCTACATTATAGCGTATTTAGATATTAATGTCGAATTTACGCTTATTTAATATAAAGCACGTATTGTTGTATTCTGGGGACCATTGAATGTTTCATCCTTAGTCTGTTATCAGAGGGGGGGGGGGGGGTTTAAAATGGTGTCTTGTTTACCCCTAGAGTACACAAATAACGTAATAAATAAAATAATTTTAAAACACTAATGCTTTATATTTCAATAATATTTTTTATTTTAAAAAAATTTCTTTATAGTTCCTTCTTTGCAGTTCAACACTTATGCTATCAATACATAGACCAACAATTCCTTTTACGATACAGCAATGTTGCCATGCTTGTATCTTAAATCATGCAATTCGTGTCTAGTAAATGTATCAAACTATTTCATGCACCGTGTACAAACATTTTGCTTGTTAATAGAGCAAGTCCTACAATTGTGTATATTGTATTCTATAACAATATATGCAATATTATAACCACAACATATTAATTACAACTATCCAATATGTAGACAATATTTAATGAAAAACCTACACCAGCTTAATTTAAAAGTAAATTAGTTTCACGGTAGGCATAACCTCTACAAATGTGTTATTTCGTAGTAATCAAGAATTTTCACAAGTAATATCGCCTTAGTGTTGATTCAGCCTAATATATGGATGCATGATAAGTAGAAATCACTTATTACTATTAAAATGCTATGCATATATGTGATAGATATCTTATTTACAAGTGTAAAATATATGAAATATATATTAATATAATTTCCCATTACGATCATTTAACATATTCTCAACGATGAAAAATGACTATTAACAAAATGGATATGATTATAATAAGAATAATAGCTATGTACACTTTCTTCTTCCTCAGCTTGTTCTGAAATTAAAAGAGAAAATATAAATAAAAATTGTGTGTCTTATTCACCTCAGTTAAAATATAAAACAAATTATCGCCTAATTATATGAAACTGCTAGCTGGCCTGGCAGACGTTGTTCGGCCCTTTTCGGTAAGTGGTCCGATCAGTTTCAGACTGAGAAAGATTGCAGTCAAGTACTTGGATTATAATAGGTAAAAATAAGCGTTACAGAAGAGTGGGATTTTAAAAAAAAAATTGAATTTTTTATAGTCTTAGCGTGCGGATGACAGGTTGACAGGTCACTAGGGCGGAACTTACGTGGGTTTGCAAGATGCGACAAAATTTTTAACTGTGAGAAAATAACACTGAATTTGTTTTTATTAAATTTCTCTATTCTGTTATGATTATTAAAGTAACATTAACTTTAAAATATCACTTAATGTACTTTTCTTTTTACTAATTTGTAAAAGTTTAATTCATTTCATTTCCGAGAGCAGTTGCGTACTATGCTTACTAGCGGTAATTTTTTTTTAATTACTAGAGATGTGCCTCAAAATCGAACGTTATAACTGTCAAGCGAATACAACGCCACAAAATAAATAATTCTATTTTACTATGTGTGGTGCAATAACATCTATAAATGAAGAACAACTTAAGTAAAAAAATTTAAATAATTTAATTTTTTTGTTCGTTTTGACATTTTAAATAAACAAACTCAACAAATACCAAAAATTTACTTAACAAAACACAACAATAAACTTAATAATCGAAATTAAAAGCAATATAAACTCAACTGGAAATTACAAAACGGCTGATAGGTACATCATACAAAATGCTAGGCATAGATTATACACATTAGTATTGACAGATGTCCTAATTTTCAGGGTCTGGTCTGGTGACACGTCCCGACTTACCCTTGATCGGGCACACCAAATCTCCCGATTTTTTACTCACCTCCTTAATCTGTGGTTCGATCTATACAAGCTATTACTGTGGCTGTTACTATTTAAATATTTTAGCTTTAACATTTCATATTTTCTCACCAAACTCGGACTAAATAGTCAACATCTAAGTTTTAAATTTTACGCGTATTGTGTTGGCAAGATACTGATATAATTCACGCTGTTTCGTTTTTTCTCTCGCCGATTGATTCTGCCCGCCCAGCCACGCTATGCATCGACGTCCTTAATTCGACCATTATTTATAATTTAATTCTTTAATTAGTACAGTACTTAACTTAAATGCTTCGGTTTAGATAAGTACATTTAGTAAAATGCAAGTCTTGTGGATTAGTTCTTCCACTAGTCAACTTCTTCAAGCGGTTGTAGGTACTATTGTTTTCAAAAAATAAAATGACTTTATCTGGCTAGTGATTTTATCTGGGGGTTTGAGGTTACAATTTGATTACGAATGAATTTGTGCTTTTTTATTGTATGATGCCGTTTTTAAGGGTTTTGAAATGCATACGTTGTGAGTTCATAAGATTTATTACTTTTTTCAGAATAACATTAAAATGAGGCATTGAGAAAATTCAGTCTGCAATGATAACTAATCGTTCAACAAATTCTGATTTGCCGAAAAATAAAAACGCACATAAAGACGAACACGAGAAATTATCAACTCGATAATTACTCTTCATTCATTAGCTCAGTCCCAAAAAATAATTATAAAGCACATTGCGCGTTGTGCCAAAAAGACTAATATAACTCATAGCGGCCAAAATTACCACAAAAACCTGTTTTTATTATATTTTATTAGATTTGTAAATTTTTTATTATATATTTATTATAGATTATTTTTACCTTCTGTCCCGATATTTGACCCGGAACTGGCAACACTAATACACATATATAGCCAAAGGCGCTAGCAATCGTACCTTGAAAAGCTGCAGGTGTAGTCAGCGCCGTACTGAAAATCACAGGTGCTGGCAACCATTTTATTTGTTTTAATATCAAGATAAATGTTGCAATTAACATTAAAAGAAGATTTTTATATTCAAAGTAATACCTAATATAATATGTAACTATACTGTCATAATTTGTATTAAACTGTAACTAATATTTACATGCATTGTATATAATATGTACCAGTTTTATTTTTTTTATCGATAGCCAAATCAATAATTTTGGCTTTGCTTTGTTTATCATAAATCCCTTTTGATTAAATCGATTTAACATAGTTCCATCTCTAAACACGCTAAACTGAAAGCTGTCACACGCACCATGCTATAAAGCAAATACTATAGTAAACCACGATTAAGGATACGCTTGTTCAATTGCGAACTTCTGAAAATTTCAAAATATTATATCGGAAGGTGTCAACTCAGTACAGGACATATAACCTACACATACCTGATAGAACGCTTATGAAATAAAATTGAAGGTAGGGTCGGATGCAGTATCAATGATGACCCGAAATTAATATGTACTATTTGTACACACATTGCCACAGTTGCCACTGTGATTCAAGCCTAAGTCATAATAACAAGGTACACTCGGTCACATGACGAACTGTAATGATAATTAAAACGACGTCTAGAACTCGTCGCTCGGTCGCAAAATAAAACAATTACCTTGTAGTTCACCGCCTGCCTTAGTTCTTGAGTGCCGCTCTCGACGTTCTGCACTGCGTATTCCACGTTAGACTCGATGGAATCAACGACCGCGCCTTGATCGTGGATCATAGTACCCAAGTCCTTGAATATCTGATTCACGTCCAAAATATCGCTCTGAAATGTCGCAAAATTTAGATTATTTAATGAACTGCTGAGATCATTGCTCTTGATATACTTATATTACTTTTCTTTCATCCTTTTATTACTTTTATTTATTATTCAGACTATTTTTGAAATTAACCATTATTGTATGACACATCGGAAGCATTTGCAAGAAGATAAAAGATAATCATATTATTATATAATATGTTATCGTTTTTATAAATATATATATATATATATATATATATATATATATATATATATATATATATATAATAGCCCTTTGAAAACAAATGAATGCACAGCGCAACCTAATGTCTGCTCTAGTCAAGCAAACTAGTAGAACCACAGAGTATCTATAAATTACTTTTAGGTTCCTGTAGTGGTTAGTATCCCCGTGTAGTGGCGGGTAAGAATACCCACTACCCCATATCTTCCCGTGGATGCCGTAAGAAGCGACAGAGGGAAACTGAGGCAGAAGATAGGCAGCAACATCCTTCTGATAACAGCAAAACATCAATAAAAAACTGCGGTTGCCAACCCGCTCGCCAAGTGTGGCAACTATGGCAATATACCCCCATAATTAAGGTTACGAAGAGACGGCCCCCAGTCCCCGGCGGCGCCGCTATTACTGGCTACGGTGGCGACCATGGTAACGGCGGGTCAGTTGGTGCTAAGAATCTCCGGTGGAAGTTCGGTTGCCACCTAAGACGACTCGACCTGGCAACTTATAACGCACGCACCCTGGGGACTGACGAGAAGATCCTGGAGCTGGAAGAAGAGATAGACAAGTTGCGCTGGAATATTATAGGATTATCTGAGGTCCGAAGAGAGGGGGAGGACATGGTAATCATCGTATCTGGCAATTTGTTCTATCACCGGGAGGACAAATTATCGTTGGAGCCACACGTAAGTGTGAGTAACGATCCAAGAGCAAGTCTATTCCGACACTATTCCGATAAAATTCCGGACGTCAGTTTGAGCGAGATCAGAATGGCTCTCCAGCACCTTAAAAACGGCGAAGCCCCAGGCGAGGATGGAATTACAGCGTAGCTTTTGATAGCGGGTGCAATACCGATACTTGAAGTCCTTCAGTAGCGCTTTGATTCCGTCCGCCATGGTGGCACTACACCGGAGGCGTGGAACAGAAGTGCGATAGTCTTGTTCTTCAAGAAAGGCGACAACGCTCTCTTGAAGAACTACAGACCGATTTCCCTTCTGAGCCGCCTATACGTGCTGTTTTCGAGAGTCATTACGAATCGTCTCGCATACAGATTCGACGGCTTCCAGCCTCCCGGAGAAGCCGGTTTCCGAAAAGGCTTTAACACCATAGACCACATACATACCCTTCGGCAAATTGTACAGAAGTCCGAGGAGTACAATTTGCCACTACGGCTGGCGTATGCGGACTATGAGAAAGCCTTTGATTCCGTCGAAATTTGGGCGGTGCTGCAGTCCCTTCAGCGGTACCATGTTGACTGTTGGTATATGGAAGTGCTGAAGTGTTTGCACAGTCAGGCTACGATGGCTATCCGAGTACAGAAACAGAATACGAAACCTATCCAACTGCAGAGAGGTGTTAGACAGGGTGACATTATATCCCCAAAATATTTCACTGCTGCATTTGAAGACATTTTCAAGGTTCTGGACTGGAAAGGATACGGTATTAACATCAACGGCGAGTACATCACTCATCTTCGATTTTCCGACCATATAGTCCTTATGGCAGAATCGCTGGAGGACCTAAGCACTATGCTCAGTGACCTCAAGTGCCTCCCAATGGATATGTCTTAGATGAACATGGACAAAACAAAGGTCACGTATAACGTTCATGTCACACCTATGCCGGTAGTTGTTGAGAGCACTAAGCTCGAAGTTGTTGACGAGTATGTTTACCTGAGACAAATAGTCCGACTAGGTAAGTCTAACTTCTACCGAGAGGTCAATCGACGGATTCAACTCGGCTGGGCATCGTTGGGGAAATTACGATACTATTAGTTAACCCTTTTATGTTATTTAAGTTCGGCGTCCGAAATGTTTACACCTTAAAATATGATGGGTAAAAAAAGCAGCAAGTAAAGTTCTGTAAGTCTGATATTGCGTTTGCGACCCATATACTAATCATGGATGGATGGAGAGACAGGCAGGATGAGGGAGGAGATAACTGTTTAGTAAAAAATATTCTTTTAAGTTTCAAGAAAAAGCAATTTCTAATGCATAAAATTCTTCGAAAGTTGTTTTAAATTTACCTAAACCACACAACATCGAATACAAATTTTGTTATCAAATAATGACTCTTAACTACAAAGTACTTATTAAAAATATCTATAATTTTGAACGCGGGTTTATTGTGAGAGATTAATTACCCATATGTAATGCCGTTATCAGCAGTTCATTATATTCCTAAAAGGGTAGAACCTAAATATTATGTGATTTACGATTTAAACAACATGACACAATTGTTTTATAAGTTTGCCTTGGATAAAAATTGTTTCTTGTTTCTTTATAATGTTTAGATTTATTAAAAGCCAACGAAAATACTGAATGGACCGACAAATCGAAAATAGTTGATATCTGTATACACAAAAAATTAATTTCAATTAAGTATTACATTTTAGTCTACTGATCTACCAAGTAGTCAAAAATGATGGCCCAAAATACCCCTAAATTAATTTTGATCTTTGGTATCACCCAAGTATCTATTTTTTGGCATTTGTTTTTGAGTTTATATAAATATTACACATGAAATAGGTCTGAAGGGTAACATATCGCTCTACAATACAAATTTATTTTACTACACCGATGCCGTTGAAAATGTATTTCTTTTTAGTCTACTGATGTATTTTTTAAGTTTAGTCGACAGTATTTATTGTAATTATTTCTATGGAATAGTTGCCTTTTATGCTTTTGTTTCTTTATCATGAGAATGTTTTATATATAATTTTCTGATGATGTAAGTTATAATATGTTCCAAAAGATATGGCATGCAACTATGCTGGCTACATATACGTACCTAGTTTTCTTTTTAAAAATCAATGAAAAATTTATAAGCCTATAGTGATTACCTTATTGATAGTTTACTTATTACTTTTTTTCAAATTGGTTTTGCTACCAAGCCACACAGTAATCAGCGGAGAAAGATGTTTAAAGCAGTTTTACCATATATATTGACAAAAAAAGGTTCACCTCCAATTGTCTGATATCCCTCTCCCGTTCCTCCAGCTCGAGAAGCTCTCGCTCCGACTGCATCGTGAGTTGTTCTTGCTTGCGGACGTTCGTATCACCCATCTCCAAGAGTTCTTTGTTGTTGGCTGCGACATTCAGAAGCGTCAAGATTACAAATCACATTGTCTTTAGTTTAAAAATATTTTAGTGTAGATGTTCGATGATCTTCGAATGTTTCGGAGTTTTTGTTTCAAACTGATATGCCAGCCCCATCGTACTCATAGGCCCATATTAATAAACGTTACTCAGCTCAAGTACTTGCACTTGAGTACAATACCATATTATTAATAGAATCAGGCATTACTTTGCGGAAATCCATTATATAAAAGCTTAAAAAAAATTACTTCGCAAATATCCGCGTTATAAAATAAAATCTTAGCAGTTAGCCACCGTAGTCTATATCACCTGAGGATGCCTCGTATAGAGGCGAAACAGGTGTCGTATTATCGTCAGTGGTGTGTCTTGCCTAGTGTAGTGGTGTTGGGAGTAGCGGTGCTGGGATTAGCGGTGATTGGGATAGTGCACGCAATTGAGGGAGGGCGGGAGGTGATCTTCATACTAGGTAAGACACATCATTTTATTTTATAACGCGGATATTTGCAAAGTAAATTTTTCTAAAAGCTTTTTTTACAATATCAGTTGAGTGCCACACTGATTAATAAACGAAACACATCTCTCAAGTGTGTTTACTTGAGTGCAAGTCACAGAACAGTATTCCTAAGTACAGCGTTTTGAAATACTGTTTTTATGTGTTTATTAATTAGCAACGATCTTGTGATGCTGATATCGTAAAGAGGGCGTATCAAATGATTACGCACTTGTGTTCGTCGTTGAGTAACGTTTATTAAGACGGACCTTAATAACACCATTGAAATTTGTAGTCAATAGAAACTAATAAAAAAAATGCATCATCCGACATTGGCTGTAGTAACACCGTCGAACATACCGAAAAACGATTTCAGTTTGATTTTTTAGTATCTGAAACCACCGTGATAAGGTGATGGCCAAAAATTTTATTACATGTGAGTTGTGTTCTATCTTCACAGCAATCACTGAAATTTTTCTCTTTATCTTTACATGTCAATTCACCATATATGCTCAGCGGGAGATCATGGATGGCATGTTTGTATATGGATGCGATAACACAGACTTTAATAGCTAAGCAAATAACAAAAAAACATGTGCTTTCCTCCTTTAAAATAAAAAATAGGAGGTTGGATAATAGAAAGAGATAGATAGAAATGGGGGTTGAACTCCAAACCACCAATCGTTTGTGCAATATATAGTTTGATACAAGCGACATGTTGGCTGACGCCGTCAGTCATTCAATCCATTAAATTGTGTATCGCGATTCGGTTTACGTAAAGCTGACCAATGTTACATCGTGATAAGCAGAGGTGCCGTTGCTTTGCATACTTAATCTATTTCGCTGTAATCCCGTAATGACGTTTATTACATTACACTACATGTGTGATTGTAACTGGCACATATTATGGGTATAATTCTATATAATAAATTACCCAGAGATACGATAAAAAATTCAGTCTTTTAGCTTGTTTAAAAATAATATTAAAATATCATTCTTTTGTACAGGACTTCTTTGAATAGACAATTAGAAAAATATAATTGTCTATTCAAAGAACAACAAAAAAAATCAACCTATACAATAATAATGTTGTACATTAATTATTGTATAGGTTGTCGACATTGAAATCTTAATGTCTTTCGTACATTTCTTCTTTGTTTATAAACTTATTATATATATTGCCTTTCTCATTGTGTTTTTCTTTAACCTGGCAGGCACGTATATTGTTACTTTTTTTTTTGCAAAATTAATATAATACAGCGTCCCCTAAAGACAACATGTAGATAATGTAAATAAAAATGTTCAAATCTACAGTAATTCATAAATCTGTATTTAGAGCAACCAACTTATTTGCAAATCTTAAAGAACCCGACTGTAACAAAATGACACTAACTTTTTACAATAATAATGAAAACATCTAAATTTTCATTTTATACCTTATCTCATCTCTTCTACAAATAAAATGCATTTTTAATAGTAAGTACGTAATAAGTACCTTTTTTCACTTATCATCAGGTAAGCCATATGCTCGATTGCCTCATCTTCCATAAAACAAGTATCGGTTTTAATACAAACAATTGTTGTCTTCTGTATTCATTAATTAACAATACCTACTCCAATTATTGTCGACAAAATGTTATTCAGAACTTCCAGACAAGTCAACTCTTTAGCAAATTTGTCTGTACGTAACGTATATTTCTCTTCGAAATAAGTATGTGATACTTAATTTTGAGTTCATTTGTAATAGAACATATCGAATGTTAAATAAAAATGAGCTTCTGAAACCAGATATTTTTTAGATTGGAAACGGAACTCCCTTTTCCCTAAAGAGTAAACTTATATTTATTCTTTTTGTTTCCTTTTTATTGTGATTTTGGGAGACATTTATAAGTTCTATAAATTTTATTAATGCTCCAAACCCGAACAGTTGCGTTTAGTTTGTTAAGGATGCATGAGACTAAAAATAACAAATAATACGCTCTGAATACCTAGAAATGAGCACATGTAAATTTACAATGGATTATGCATTGATAATCTTGTAATGGTGTGACGTATGCTTACCGTTCATTGCGAACGGGTCGCCGATATTGATGTTTTGGGCCTTGACTTTCCTCACATCTTCCTTCGACTTCTGGGCCGCCGACCTTTGAGTGGACTGCATCAAATTGACACAATAAAACAAATTAATGATCAATGTATCAAATTAAAAGTACCAACTAAAAGTAGGGTATCAAAGTTAGAATAGAAAATATACAATATTTACATATACCTATTACATAAATATTTAAATTTACACCTTTTCTGCCAAGAAGCATGTTTGAGTTAACTACGTATTTCTGTCGTCAAATAGCAGTGCCAGTAAAACCACACGCTGTGAGACATCCTTTCGCAATAAAAACCTGCTGAACCGATTTCCATTAAAGCTTAGTCGTGAATGAAAAAACTACATCTCATCTAATAGTCAGTTTTAAGTTGTGTGTTTGTTACACAATGTCAACATTTCTATATCTTGTCGCCAGATGTAAATAGTTCCCGATCGGTGTCTAGTAAAGTATGTAAAGTTCAGCTTTATACATCCTACTGCTGGGCACAGGCCTCGCAGATACTGAACGATGCACATTATGTCAAATTGTAGAAGTTTAATGAACCACAACAAAATTAACAAAATGTTTGTACTGAGACAATGATTATCCCATAATGGCTCACTACCTTTAATGTTTAATCTTTTATTAATAGTATTAACATAATTATTTTATATTTTTTACTTCATTAAATGCATCTATACAAATAAATAAAATTGAAGTAAAATTGATGTGTTGTAATGTCGAAATTACAACACTTTACTAAATGCATATGAAAGTTTATACGGTACTTGTAACAAAAATACAATTTTTTAAATTTTTGTCTGTCTATCTGTTTGTTCCGGCTAATCTCAGAAACGGCAGGACCGATTTCGACGGGACTTTCACTGGCAGATAGCTGATGTTATAAGGAGTAACTTAGGTTACATATATTTTAGAAAAAGAGTTAGGGTTCCGCGCAACATAACTAAAACCCTAAACTACACGCGGGCAAAGTCGCGAGGAACAGCTAGTTTAAAATATATTTACAAACTAAACTTGCCATTTGTTTAATTTATAAAGTTCTGAGAAAACTAACATTAATTATATCAAGAATTATAAAGACAATATGTTTGTGAGAAGTACATACACATACATTTCTCTTTTTTGTAATAAATTGCTTTAATTTATAACATTAATATGTTGTAAATTAAAGCAATTATTATGATTATATATTAAAATATGCAGTACAAATTCATTGACAAGAGTTGATTGCTTTTCTTTTATAATTAAGTATAACCATAATTATTTTCATTATAGGGTGCAATATTTTAAGTCTACTTATATTTTGAAGTAATTTTAAGTGCTTTATAATTGAATATGATTTTTTTAATTATGCAAAGATATACACACATAAAGGGATTACATAAAGTGTCTAACCCATTCTTTAGTACCATATATTTACCTGGAATGCATTGAGGGTGCTTAAATACTCATCACTGAGGCGATCACGTTGAAGTTTCTGAGCAGGTTGGTCCACGGGCAGCTTCATGAGTTCCATTAGCAATGAAGATGTGTCTTTAGCCAACTTTTGTGTGTAGTTTTGGATTTGGCGCCTGCACACAAACAAAAATTTTATAAATTATACTAATACTACGAGTACTAACTTACAGCTTAAAATTATAATAAGATACTGGATTACGTGTAGATAACCAAAAAATAATGACAATTCTTAGTCAAGTTAAAAGCAAGCCACATCCGCTTTCTTTACTTTTATATCTAATTAAAACCAATTCAGATTATAATTTAAAAAAGAACAGGTCTCCTGTGATCATCAGTGCTGGCAAAGCACCCGAAACGGCGTCAATTAAAAATAAGTAGAATTAAACGCGATAAAATCCGTGTAAAAGTAGTTATATTCAATGTGTAGTATTCGCATAAACATATGAAATTGTTATAGAAGTTAGAGTGACAAACAAGCACACAGTCCACCTGTTAGTGAGTGGATGCTGTGACACATAGGCTACTAGTCTCCAAATAGCTCAAAATAACTCTGGTTATATTTGAATTACACTTACAACAATTAATTTTAATTACTGCAGGTGAAAATAATTTATCAATTCGAACAGTACTTTATACCCCCTATTATAAAAGAAAAATCAAAAATGAGTGTTGTCAGCCTAGTTCTTAACACTACCAAGGTGGTAAGGGCTAATTATTTTGTCACTGTTTGTTTATAAAGTTTTGTACATCTTGACTTTCAAAGAATTATGATTGTTTTATAAAAAAAAGTTATAACATTGTAATATGTTTATACGAATATGAAGAAAAATAACATTTATATACAATGAGGACACATCATTTGACCTATTCAATAGATGAATACATTGGTGTGGTGAGTAGAATAATCATTATATTTACTTTAATTTTATTGCATTCTGTTTGTTAGAGGTTGTTCTGTAGCGAGAAATATATCTGTAAATGATTTATGGAGTAAAATATGGGGCAGTCCATATTTTTCTAAAACTATGCCTGGGGATAGATTCAAAGAAATTATGAAATATTTATGATTCGAGGTGAAATCAAAACTATCTACGAAAATTATAACGGATAAATTTGCGTTGCTTTCTCAAGTATGGAATTGCTTTATGGACAATTGCATTTCGTGTTACAAACCGGGAGAAAATGTTACAATAGATGAACAGTTGTTTGCTACAAAAGTTCGATAAATTTATCCTCGATTAACAATCAAAATGTAGCTTTTTGGTATTGATAGATGCAGATATTGTCACCCCTGAGGATTATGATGGAATGTCTTGTAACCAGTAAAAATGGGCATATACCCATTTTAATGTTTTTGCATTACATTTGGGTATAAAATACTCATTTTTACATACTTGCTTAAAGTCTCTGCTTGCAGCAATCATATGACGGGTTATTTCCCTTTAGTATGGTTAAGGAGGGCGATGACTGCCGCATGTGTCACACCTGTAAACTAGTGCTGCTTATGGAGGCTGGTCTACTCAAATTCGCTATGCACTAATAAGCTCCAAACTTGTTGAGGTCTGTCGTCACAAGAATGCGTGCGTAGCTTGTTTCACTGTTTCTTTTCTGATCAGAGGAACCTCATTTCGAAATGATATTAGATTTGGAAAAGTCATTTGGCAAAGGAAAACTTAGTTATTACGTCAAAGAAAGAAATATACTTCATTTCAAAAGGGTCTCCAGTTATTGTCACTCACCATAATAAACTACAAATTATGCAGCTATCTTATGCTAGTATTTTGTGCAAATGTAGTCCTTCCCAGATTGAGCCCACTCATTTTGTGCTGTAGCCATAATACTCAGTATGGCTCTACCATCTGTGGCGGATTATTCTTAAAGCAAACTACACAAGATTACACGGGACGGGACGGACACGGAAGTTTTTAAACAAAAAAATATTAATTAAGTACCTATTAATACATAAAATAAAAAATTATAATTTCTATAGAGGCGTAGAGCTACTAAAGGGCGCCCTGTCTACTTACGATTACTCCTACATCACCCTTGCTCTCTTGTCATGTTTTTCATTCACGCCCATCCTGTTACTTGTTCTAATTATTTTGCAACTGAACTATACTACAATTAATACAGTTTATTTGCAAAACAAGTAGTTATAACATATAATATATGGCTGCTATAGGGGCGCCTATGAGCTGATAGCCTAGGGCACTGTCGACACTTAATCCACCTCTGTCTACTATGTAAACAAATAAGTTAGAATAACCTGTCTGCTTAAACTAACTTTTTTTTTAAGTATTATAAGCCAGTACTTGACTACTATCCCACCTGATTGTAAGTGGTTATGTAGTTGTTAAACATACTCACTGAAACAAAAGCTTATTCACTTTTGTCTTGAATACACCCAGATCGTAATCGGGTGGAAAAACAGATGCTGGCAAATTGTTGTGTATATATTTAATGGTAATTATTTATTGTGAAGATTCAGTCAAGGGAGTTTTTGTTGTCACACTTCACAGATATTTTGGTAACCATGTTTTTTTTTATTATTTTTAGTTGTTATCAGGAAGCTGCTGTCGCAAATCTCTCGTTTCAATTTCCTCTCTGTCACCTCCTACTACTCCTACAGGATGGTATGGGGAAGGGGATACTCTTATGCCACTGCTAAACAGTAATTTTTTTTAAAAACAAAACAATTAAATACATGTACAGAAAATTTGTTTTCCATATTGTATGGCAATAAATATAAAATACCTGTTATCATTAAACATATGTTTATTATATGTTTACTGCATCATTTGGAACATCTCTTCTGAGTTTGTGATTAATAAAAGTAAGAAAAATAATGCATCTAATTGTACTTACAACTGATTCCTAAGTTCCTGTGAATCTTGAGGTGTTTGAAGTTGATTGACCATCTTTGACATCGATGAGACTAAAATAAAAATAAAAGGAACTCCTTTAACTCATTCATTGCCACACAATAATTTCCTAATGTCATACGTAGGGCCACCGCTATAATTTGCCGAGCCTCGCATGGCGAGTCGTTGGCCGTACGAACGAGGAGGATACATCTCGCGTGGCGAGTCGCTGGCCGTAAAAATGAGGAGTTCGCATCTAAATGCATATTTGCCCATTTTAAGGTGTTAGCAGCGAAATTTGCAGGCGTTGTGCCGGCATGAAATACTGTCCCACTCTGCTGAGCATGCCAAGCTTTTTAGAGGCCAATTTAGCCTTCCCTTCCAAGTGACCACGAAACTCCACATCACTCGATATGTCGACGCCGAGGATTCCGATACTGGCTGACGCAACATGGGGAATGCCTTGAAACTGAGGAGATACGATAAAGGGGCTCTTTTTAACGGTAAACGCGCAATCTTGTGTCTCCTGAGGATTAAACTGGACTAGATTTAGCCGCCCCCAATTCGAAACTTTGTTCAGCAAAGACTCGACTTCATACACAAGTTTGTTCCAGTACTCGGCGACGTTTTCCCGAGAAATATTGGCACGGCCGGTATATAAGGCATCACCAGTGCTGTCATCTGCATAGCAATGAATGTTACCGGTTTGCAACATATCATTGATATTCAGAAGAAACAGCGTTGGTGATAGCACGCAGCCCTGTGGAACACCAGCATTAATAGGCTTCTATTCGGAGCATGCACCGTCTACAGCGACCTTGATGCTCCGATCTGCAAGGAAGCTGGTGATCCAATTGCACAATTTCTCGGGAAGCCCATAGTAAGGGAGCTTCGAAAGAAGCGCTTTGTGCCAAACCCGATCGAAGCCCTTCGCAATGTCCAAACTAACGGCCAGTGCCTCCCCCTTGGACTCTACTGCCTCCGCCCATCTATAAGTCAGATAGATCAGAAGATTACCAGCTGAACGACCCCGACGAGTCTCTAAAATCAAAATGAAGTCAATTTTCGCCATCCCCGCCCCCACCCCTCATTCTCATCTTTGGTTTTTTTTTTATAAAAAAAATACCTGACGGGCGGGCCACGGTTTTATTACATAAAACAACATTCAAAGTGGCTGATAATTTAGAATTTACATTTTTTTTCTTTGTATTTTTGAAGAAAATATGATAAATAGTTAAGACTCGCGTATCGAGTTCTAGGCCACCAGCATGCAGTTCTAATAAACACGCGAGGCGAGTCCTTGGCAACGAATGAGTTAACACAATTAAAATAGTTTATATACTAGCTGTTCCCTGCAACATCTTCCATGTGGAATTCATTACAATTGGATTTCATATGTTTTATTTTTTTGTTGTATTCTATTCTATTTTTCTAAAATAAAGGTAGCCTAAGTTACTCCTTATAACATCAGCTATCTGTCAGTGAAAGTCCCGTCTAAATCGGTGCAGCCGTTTCAGAGATTAACCAGAATAAACTGACAGACAAAACTGTTAAAAATTGTTTTTTTGTTACACATACCAAATATACTTTCATACGCATTTAGTAATAAGTTGTTGTTTTGACATTACAATCAGACACTTCAATTCTGAAAGTCTTTGGATTAAGTGTATAGATGTTTGTTCATCACAAATTCCAAATCTTTCACCAAATAGATTTAAGCTTTCCCTAAAAATAATAGGCATGATAGCACACCATATTTTATAATATTATCTATGATGCTCTTAGTTCAGCACTTAACACATTGCAGTGTAACTCTGTGAAAATGCTGATAATGAAAATCTTAAATTGTAGTATAAATGATAGAATGTGAATAAAAACGTTTAATTCTCTAAAGATACCTGTTTTAGTTGGCATATTCATTAATTTTTTTTTTTTGCTGGCCACAGGCCTAATTTCTTTCAGAAATGCGATGGTTTTAAGGCTAGTGCTCAGCAATGGGATGAATTTTTTACTTTGATAGTTTCTAAAGGCCCAATTGTGACAACTGGGAGACTGATAACAAATACATTAAAGGAAGCTACTATAATGTTAATCAAAACAATGGCTTATTTAAATCTTTGAGGATTATTGTTATTATAAAAGAAGACTAAATAGTACTGTAAAATAAAAATCTCACCATTCTGAGAAATTTTCTTGATATTACTTGCTATTGTTTGGGATAATCGTTGAAAGTTGTTGGTTTCTTCATATGACACACCTCCTTGATACGAAGCCTCCATCCTGTATGTAACATATGAAAAAATAGATAATTTACACTGTCCCAACAGAATATTTTCTATGATTTTCATAGTTACATACCTTCAGATAATAAAGTTTATTGTTGCAAATACGTGACGTCCACAAATGGCTTTCTGTTTCGCGCAATGTAAACAACACTTTTTTAAATATTTCCACTATACTTATTATTCAAGTCGCTAATATAAAACGACTATTTATAGTAGCAGGGTATTAACAAAAACTTTCTAAAATATTGATCAAAATTAAAATCTACAATATTCATCAACAAATTAATTGACCGAACCGAATGACACCACAGACTAGTATATATATTATATACAATAATCAAAGAGTATAGTAATTGTCCTATACAATAATCTATGCTGAATCACAGAATACTAATACCCTTAGGCGGGTATTAGTGTTCTGTGATTCAGCATAGATTGTGCTGAATAGTGAAGTCCGGTCACATACATACGGAAATCCGTTTCGGGATTCCGTTTCGATATTCCGATTCGGAACCCGAACGTAGCAAGACCATATAAAATCTATGACCCGCCACACACGTACGGTATTTTCCCGTACGGTATATTCTCCGATTCGAGATTACGTATAACCGCCTGTGCGTTCGAGATCCCCAACGGTAAAAAGCCGCCCCGAACGCAAGTCTTCCATAGATTTTCTACGAGTCGTAACACACATACGTAAATTCCGTACGAAACGCGCTGAGTGTTCGTCGCACGACCGAAGCGAGTATGTGTGTTTATGTATGTTTTTACATTTAATGTTGTAGGTGTATAGCTTTTCGTAACCTTTCATCTTATTTTATTTAATATTTCGTCGAAAGAATTTACAGACATAAATATTTAAAAAATATCTCTGCATAGATAGGTCTTTTTACATAATATTGACTATATTTCAAGCTTAGGGTGATAAGGGGATGCACCTAGTAAGAATGATACAGGAACAATGGAATCGCAATCAGAAAATCGTCGTCATTATTCGCTGGCAGAATGTCTAGACTCAAAGGCTAACATCTCTCAACTAGGCGTGTGTATCTCTTTACGGAATCGATTCACTGATCCGAATCACTGAAATGATTCAAAAGATTGGTTCAGTTCAAAAGTTGTTACGCTAATGGTATCTCAAGGCGTCTAAGCAGACACCTTATCTTGAGAATCACATCACCATTAGAGCACTTGTTTCACCGTTTCCACTAATAGTTCACATGCATAGACAATACACAAAATGGCACCGCTTTTACATATCAAAGTCTACTTCAAACCATTATTTAAACAATAATACAGAAGCAGCAAACCGCCGCCGGTCAAGTTCCCACCAAAACTCTCTCCTAGCGGAGAATGATACACAGAACCACAGAATACATATATACCCAGAACACTATTAAGAAAGAGTATTAGGAGTGGTTCTTTGCCTCTAACCACTAATGGAACAGATCTTACTCCCAAAAAGGTAATCTTGAAGACCAGTTTAATATGGCCAAAGACGCCTGTACAGAAAGTAAGACAAATTGAAAATGAACCAGTATTTGTATTGACTGGGAAAAAATGGTTAGAAATAGAAAAATAAAATATACGAGAAAGAAAAAAGAACATAAACAACAAGAACGTAAATGCCTCAGAAAGGAAAATAAGTCAAAAAATATAGTCAATGGGTCTAAAGAGATTGAAGTAGTAAAATGAAATAAATAAAAAGTAGACTGCTAAACAAAATGCTAGTATGTTCAAAATATCTACAAAATACCTCAAGTGAAATTACTGTAGAACCCCCATTAATAAAAAACGATGATTCAAAATAAATTCCGAAAACTTTAACCAGGCAATTCCACCCAAGATTAAAGTCGAATCGCAAATACAGCTAGCTAAACCAAAACATAATGATAGTGGTGAAACAGCGGTTAATAAAGATGTTAATTGTATATATGTATACTCACACTATTTACAAACCTTTAAAGAAACCTTACCTATTATTAGGTATTAAGTTATTAGTTTACCATATACATAAATATTATTACTGTTGCACAAAACTAAATTTACTATATTACCAATCGCGCCTAAAACAAATCGTGTCATCAAACACGAGACGAATTTAGACTGGGTCAAGGTCACATAATTTGAAAATATTTGTTATTTAAAACACACACACACACACACACACACACACACAGACACACACACACACACACACACACACACACACACACACACACACACACACACACACACACACACCCACACACACACACACACACACACACTTACTTTATCATTTTTAATATCACATTTATCCGAAGGTAATAGTCATAGGTCAAATGCAAAAGCAATATATGTATAGGTGAGCGTGAAAAAAACAAAACGTATCACCCGCGCTCACTCAATATTCGATGGCCGGTGGTACTTCAACAGCCGAAGCCTTTGCCGATGCGTCGCGAAAACAGCCGAATAAACGATTTGTTTGTTACATTTTATTCTGATCGCTGGATTGTAAAATCATGTTACCGATTACCGAGTAAAACGTATTATAACGTTTCGTTGGACTGCAATAACCCGCTACCCGCAATTGTATGAATATTGAATAGATGGTTTCAATAACGGTTTACCTTTTGTAACGGCTGTATTATGCGAGTAACATTGGGGTACAGATTTATTAAAATACTACCTTTTTCTTTACATTACTTGTTTAAATCGTAATTCATGTGACTTTTATTTCCATCTACAAATAATATTATCGGGAACTGGACTTGTTTTTCTACTAGATATGGATAAAGTATGTTGTGGATGTACTGAAAAAATAAATCTTTATTTTAGTAGTGTGGTTATCCGATAGGCCTAAACCCCAGTGTGACGGTACAGAGGCTCTGATGTCTTCGCGCATTCTTTTAAGCGGATAAATTACCATGGGTGAAGTAGTTTTACCAGTGGCAGGGAAGGTAAACATTACAGTCAAACGAGTCTTAGTTTGTGCATGATCCACCTCGTAAACGTTTTTACATCCCTTTTCTGCCAATAGCTTGGTGTTCTTTGGACATAGCTGAAAGCTAGTTTCATCTCCATTATAGACGCGGGAGGAATCACTTAAAATATCAAAGAAATAATTTTCTTTTAAATATTGTTCAATTTGACTGAACCACTGTCTTATGTTGGTTTCAGAGACATTTGCACTTGCTGCTGTAATAGCGTCGGAAGTCCTCTTTGTGATTTCTGGATGTCGTTTTAGCAACAAACGATACCAACCTTCTCCAGGTTTATTATTTATAAAACAGTTCGTTCTTGGATTTTTAATCAAAAACTGTACGACACTTAAAAAGATATCTTTCTTGCGTTTGAGAAATCCTTTTTTGCTACATGTAATTATCCACATAATAACTCAATTACGGTTTCTAAATGTATGAAAGGGCGCTAAGCTACTTTGCCAACATCAAGACATGAAATTTAATTAACCCCCCCCCCCATCCCCCACTTCACCAGCCAACAAATTCTATTGAATTTTGAGTATATATATAAAAAATTCTGACAGACGTATTTTAAAAATATACGTCTCAAAAATATCAGTATAAACTGCACCTATATAGTTTATAAAAAAAAAGACATGTACACGTGATGGAAGTGAAACCTTCAGAAAACTAATCTTCGAGAGAATACGAACGAATGTAGAATAGCAGGAGTAAGATAATTGTAAGGTTTATTTGTTACTATAATTAATATTATAATACTTAATTTAATTTTGACATTACTATTATTTGATTATTATTTTATTTTTGATTTTATTGTGATTTAATTTTGGGTATAGATTTGATTTTAGTTTTGATTTACTTTAATTTAATTTGGTTTAATATGATGTTCTCAATTACTAACCTAGTATAAGTCATACTAACAACTTATGGATCTTTGATATCTGAAATAAATAATAATTATTATTGGGGTATCTATAAAGTTTTCTCATCTGGTTGGGCACTATAAATATATAATTGTAAATGAAAATGGTAAACATACAATAATATCAATAAAATAAAATAAATACATAAATATATACAAATCCAATCAGATGGAAGCCCTCGGCAGGGGAGAACAAACGGCTGAGGGTTAGGGGGGAAGGTAAAGAAACCGGCGGACGATGCGGGCGGTATCGAGGAGCACCGCCTTCTGCATTTGAGCCTGGAGCGGTCCGTCACGGAGTCCCAGTCGCCTCAGATGACCCGAGAGGCTGACTGGGATTAAACCGTTCGCAGAAACGACCACAGGAATAATTTCGGTCGGCAGACAACCCCACATGTCAGTCACCTCGTGAGCCAGGTCCAGATATTTTGTCAGCTTATCTGTTTCGGCTTTCACGAGGTTCTCGTCATAAGGAATGGTAATGTCGACCAAAAATATCCTTGACTGTGCCCGGTCCATCAGCACAATATCAGGCTTATTCGCAAGAATGGTCCTGTCTGTGATGATGGCCCGGTCCCATTAGAGCCTGGCGCGGTCATTTTCGAGCACGGTTTCCGGCAAGTACTTATAATACGGCAGTTTCCGATCCACGAGACCGTATTTCTGAGCGAGCTCCTGGTGTAGAATCCTGGCTACTAGATTGTGTCTGTGCAAATACTCAAAGTTAGAAAGCGCCGAACAACCGGAGATGACATACCTAAATGACTCACCGGGATGGCGACAAGCTTGACAGATGTCGACGGCGCCATCCTTTAGGATGTATCTCCGAAATTGTTGGTCTTAATAATCTGATCCTGTATCGCACAGACAAAACCCTCGGTTTCCCCAAAGAGGTCACCGAAACGTAGCCAGTGGAGGGAGGCGACTGTCTCTACGAAATACTCATGTAGAGCCTTGTAGAACCTCCCGTGAAGCTCCTTCTCCTTACATATGGTCTCCCGGTCGGAAATGCACTGTACTGCTGGGTCTTGCCATTGCTCGTTGGCTAAGGATAGAGGAGTAAGCCCTTTATCACACTAAATGACGTCCCTATAGAATGGATCACCCGACCTCACCAGAAAGTAATTACGGAGGCTGCACACTTCACGATTATGCATGGTGAGAGCACTCAAAAAGCCGCGCCCACCATATTTCCGCGGCAAGTACAACCTCATTACTGACGATCTCGGATGATGCATCCTGTGAGACATCATAACAGTGCGGACTTTTCTATCCAGAGCATTCAGTTCAGTCTGAGACCACCTGAGTATGCCGAAGGACAGGCATGACCCAACCGTTATATGCGTGTGTCTTATTCACACCCGACAAAAGACTGTTGAGCACTTTTGTCAAGCGTGCATAAGACACATCGCAAACTGACTGTTTCATGTC